AGTTCATATTGTTAACCTTCAAGTAATAACATTTCTGAGCTGAGCCATGTTTTAAAAATTATACATGGAGGGGTTGGCGCTGTGACATAGCAGATAAAGCCCCCACCTGCAATATCAGCATCCCATATGTGCGCCGATTCAAGTCCCGGCTGCTCCACTTCCCATCCAGTTCTCTGCTATGACCTGGGAAAGCAGTAGAAGATGGCCCAAATCCCTGGGCCCCTGCATCTATGTGGGAAACCCGGAAGAGGCTCCTGGCTCCTGCAGCCATTTGGAAGAGTGAACCAGTGGATGGAAGACTTCTCTCTCTCTCTCTCTGCCTCTACCTCTGCCTTTCTGTAACTCTGCCTTTCAAATAAATGAATTAATCTTTTAAAAAATTATACATGGTGGTTCATAATTCAGCCAAAAACTGGTACTTGTGTTTTGTGGGGAGCAACTCGGACTAGACTAAGTTACTGGAATTAAGACTTATTCTATGCATCTGCTCTCCCACAATATGGCGCTGGGAGAGGAGGAAATAGCTTCTACACAGCTGCCTCCAGTTCAACCAATAAACAGCAGGACCTGCTCCTGATTGGAGGAGAGCAGCGTACTTGGCATGTGGGTAGCAGAGTTGGGATTGGTGGAAGAGGACTATAAAGGTGGAGAGAGACAACATGCACCAGGAACATCTATCTGAAGGAACACCTGTGCAGCCCCCGAGAGAGCCAGCTGGTGGTGTGCCGCTCCCCCGCGGAAGTGGGAAAAGCAGCAGGGGGAACCGCCCTTCCACGGAGGTGGAAGGGACGGTAGCCAACCCAGGAAGAACCAGCAGCAAACCCGGGGAGGGCCGAGCAGACAAAAGAACAGCGCAGGGTCCTGTGTCGTTCCTCCACGAAGACGGGGAGCGACAGTGTTTAATTTGCTTTGCACTGTTATTTACTATTCTTTGGGTTTCTGGTTCAATTTAGTTCAATTTCAAGAACAGGAGTAAATTCTATTTCTCTAGATAAAATCTAGATAAAAATAATATGAAGTTACAATAACATGTTTGCAATATTTTGCAAAGAAGAAAATTTCCCAAATATTAAAATTTTTAGAGCCCCACCATTTTATATCTGAATAAGCCATTAACAATCCAAAATAGTCTCACAGTGGCTAAGGTATGAAGAAGTCTTCCTGGGAACAACATTTCCCAGAATTAGAGCTGAATACAAGTGCCTAAGGCAAAATGTCAACTGATTTATTGAAGAAAAGAAAAAGAAGGTTCCTACTGTGCCAGAAATTCTCAAGAAAAAGTGAAGGAATTTCACAAAGCTTAAGAGCAAGTGCCTAAGAAAGAAATTTGCCCAAAAAATGGTTTGAAAGGCCAAGAGGAAGCTCTGGCTATGAACCAGTCCAAATTAAAACAAGGAATACATGCAGATGTATAGAACTAAGATTCGAATGGCTGGGCTGGCCAGAAAAGCTGGCATTTTCTGTGTACCTATAGGACCCAAGCTGTCTTTTGTCATCAGGATCAGAGGTATCAACCATGTGAGCTGAACGGTGTGAAAGGTGTGCAATTTCTCCCGTTTCACCAGACCTTTAATAACACCCCTGTTAAACTCCGCCAGGCTGCTCCTGACTTGCAGAGAGTCGTGGAACCCTGTAAGGATGGCATGGAGGATTCCAAACCTGCAATCAGCCTATGAGCTGGCCCATGGTGCGATTATGGCAAGATCAACAGCAAGTAAACACACACTTGCTATTTACGGCATCATCTGACTAGACAGACTCTAGTCACTAGAGGATCTTATTCGTGAGATCTAGAACTCCTTCAAATTATCTTCTCCATGGGTGGAATGAAGAAAAAGACCACATGTGCAATACGTGGCGATGCTGGTGTTAAAGGACAAAATTGCAACAAATCCAAAGGTTTAACTGGCTTTAAGATTCCAGAATCAGGTGACATCCTATTCCATAAAACAGGATACGTTCCAATGAATTAAGCAGAGGCACCAAGCTTGAAAAGCCCTTCACGGCCCAGCTTCCAAAGCAACTACCTCTGAGGAGTGGACAGCCAAGTTTGGTCAGTAACGTTGCAGGCAGAACTGTAAACTTCCTGTTAGAGATGCCACCTGCCTTTCCCTGGCCACCTAGGTAAGGGAAGTCAACAGGGTGCCTTCCCCAAGAGGTTCACACCTCCCTTAGGATGCACCCCATGTGAAGAGATAGATAGGTCTGGGCCTCCTAACTGACAAGGCCTTAAAGCCCACCAGATTATTATTAGGCCTCTTCTGTCAGGTTCTATTTGCCTCTCAATCAGAGAGCTTATTCATGGCTTAGACAGCAGCTCTCTTAGGTCCTCTAATAATGACTCTGTCCTTTGTTCTAGACCCTGTCTAGCCCACCCGGGGCCTCATTCCTTTGTAATCATAGCCTCTACTCTAACATCTATGGCTCTACTCCTGACCTGTGTGTATTGATGGTCCTCTCCCCCACTTAATGTTGTATGATTGTTCAGGATTTTCTCCACAGACAAACCCCTCTACCCACAAGAGACAATCAGTCCTTCTCCCAGTCTTTGTCGGGATCAGCTTCAAACATGTTCATCAAACAGTCTTCACAAGGGTCCAGAGACCACCCACCCTCATTTCCTCTCCTCTATGAAATCCTCTCATTACCTGGTTAATGCCACTCCTAGGACCATTGATTGCTGTTCTTACCCTGTGTTTATACTACCATGTCTGTTTAAGTGTATACAGGAAGTGATAGTGGAACGAACGAAGGCCTTCACTAACCAGGTGTTCAACCAAATGCTGCTAAGGGATATACTCGGCTCCCCACCCAGGAGACAGTGGCTTGAGACATCACCCCATTCCAGCAAAGACTACCTCCTCGCCCCATGTCAGCAGGAAGTAGCTCTAAAGACAGATTATTGTCCCTCCACCCTTCCTGGACTTTTGGGGCTAATATAGTCCCATACAACTCTTGCTTTAGAAAAAAACAAAATGGGGGAATGTTAGTAAAATGGTGCAGTCTTATCTATGGTGCAATCTACACCCTGACAACATCTTAGGCTTTACACCCACCCCCACCCCACCCCCACCGCCATTGCTGGAAGCCAGGTGACCACATGGCCCAACCACCATTGTCAGCTCCACTCTCCCATCCTAATAGGATTCACTGTTCCTACTTCCCTTCCCACCCCACACCCCCCACCACAAATGTTTAACAGGACCTCTTCCTGAACATGTCTCCTCTCTCTGTCTCTTGATCTCTCTCTCAATCTTATGCTCTCCTCTCTCTCTCTTTTTCCTTCTTTGCCCCTTCCCTCCAGTCTGTCAGGTTTCCCCCACCAATAAATCCTTTCCCTTACGGGAAAAAAAAAGAAAAAAAGAAAAGAAATTGACCCCTGGCTGGTGCTGTGGCCTACATTGCCAGCATCCCATATGGGCATGGTTCGAGTCCCAGCTGCTCCACTTTCAAACCAGCTCTCTGCTATGGCCTGGGAAAGCAGTAGAGTATGGTCCAAGTTCTTGGGCCCCTGCACCCTTGTGGGAGGCTCAGAAGAAGCTCCTGGCTCCTGGCTTCAGATCAGTGCATCTCTGGCCGTTGTGGCCAATTGCGGAGTGAACCAGCAGATGGAAGACCTCCCCCCACCCCCACCTCAGCCTCTGTAACTCTACTTTTCAAATAAAACAAATAAATCTAAGAGAAGAAAGAAAGAAAGAAAGAAAGAAGAAAGAAAGAAAGAAAGAAAGAAAGAAAAGAAAGAAAAGAAAGAAAGAAAAGAAAGAAAGAAAAGAAAAGAAAAGAAAAGAAAAGAAAAGAAAAGAAAAGAAAAGAAAAGAAAAGAAAAAAGAAGGGAAAGAGAGAGAGAAATTGGCCCGTGTGGGAAATTCAGTTGTCACTTCTCTCCTGAATCTCAGGTCAGAAAACAACTTGGGCTTGGTTTGGTGCTGTTTAACTTCGGTGTGAGGACTGTGTTTTGGTGAGTCTGGTCTGTTGGAGGGGCCTAGGGCTTATTCTGAACAATACCCTCCTGGGGCTGGCGCTGTGGCATAGAAGGCTAAGCCTCCACCTGCACTGTCGTCATCTCTTATGTCCTGGCTGCTCATCTTCCCATCCAGCTCTCTGCTACAGCCTGGGAAAGCAATGGAAGATGGCCCAAGTCCTTGGGCCCTTGCACCCACATGGGAGATCCAGAAGAAGCTCCTGGCTCTTGGCTTTGGCCTCCCGGAGGCCTGGCCACCGAGGCCATTTGAAGAGTGAAACCAGAAGATGGAAGATCTCTGTCTCTCTGCATCTCTGCCTTTCAAATAACATCAATAAATATTTAAAATACACAACAGCCTCCTATAATTTTTATTTAGCAGTTGGAACACATAACCGGGCTTATTAGATCAATGAACTAAGGTAGCTACCATTATTATTGTCATCTGGTTACCAACCAGCCAGTCACTGCTTTCAAATTGCAAAAAGCAAAACCAGAATCTTGACTAATTTTTTTCAGGGCCAGAATATCCTACATGATTATTCTTATTAATTTGCCTAAACAGCACTTTGAAATAGAGGACAATACCGTCACTTTCTATGCTTGTTTTTCGACTTCTTAAGACAGATGGTTCTTTTCTCTTTAGTAAGGAAAAAAATACCAAGTAAAGGGCAAACAGCAATTATGTAAAACAGTTTCAAAAACTGTGGGGTTTCACACAATTCAGAAGTGAGCGCACAGAGAAACCCAGGAACCTGTGAGGTGCGGGGCAGAACCAGCACAACTGAATTCCAAGGCCAGGTTCCTTCTCGAAGAGAAAACCAGGAAATGAGCTCTCATTGTCCCAGACTATCAACGTATTTCACAATTCCCGGTAGGATACTACCGCGCCTGGACCACGCCCACAAATGCCGGTCAGGCAACGTAGCGGGTCGTGCGTCACGGTAAATTTGGCCAGGCCCCGCCTTCTGCGCCCTCTCGCGCGCCTGCGCTCGCTTAAACGGAAGTTGCGCATGCGCAAGATGGGAACAATGTTTCTCCCGCACCCTTTTTTTTCAGGGCTCTCTTGGCAAGGGTATACTTCCGGGTTAAAGGATTTACTTCCGGAGAGCGGGAAGGCTGAAACGCGGTGGCTAACCCAAGGCCGAGTTGGCGAGGTCCTGGGTGGAGAAGGCTGTAAAAATGGACAGGTGAGTTTTGGGGGTGACAGCTGGGCTGGGAGTCTTGTCCCTCTTGCTCTTGCCGGAACGAAATAGATGAAACCAGATTCCGGGAGGAAGCCGAAGAGGTCCAGGGTGCTGGTCCTTGGACGCCTTTCCCGGACCGGGAGATTTCGGCACCTGACGGAGGAAAGCCTTTCGGCGTGGGTTGGGGAAGGGGTGTGGATGGTCGTCCCGCAACTCGCGCCGCGACCCTGCGATCTGTCCGGTGCCTTCCCGCAGCGTCTTTGGTGTCGCGGGTGGGCGGGGTAGGTGGTGGCCGTGCTTTCGAGATGCCGAGCAATCCGCTGGAGACGGTGAAGCTGGTCGGCGACGGCACCGAGATCTCAGCCAGCATCAGATAGGTACCGAGTTCGCCTTACGACCTGGGCGCGGTGGCAGCCGTCTTGCGAGAAAGAGGAGTTATTCAAGGTCCTTGGCCCCGGGGAATTCGTCGTGTAGTGGCAGCGATAACCCCGCCAAGTCAAGGAATAAGCGTTTTGTAGTGCACTGTGGGGAAAATGGAGCAGGTAACAGCCCGTCTCGGGAAGTCATCGGGAAGACCTCTCAAGGTAACGTTCTAGCTGGTGTTATTAGTCCGCAGAACATCCCCACGGTGCCTCCTCTGTGACAGCCGCTGGACTAGCGGTGTATATTCTGTTAGCTTGTTTAATCTGAAGAGCAGTCGTAGGAGCAGAAGTAGCATCATGGGCAACACTGGGGCTAAAGAGACGAAGTAACTCGGTGAAAGCTAGGAAGCTACCAAGTGGAAGAGCCAGGTCACCTTCGCGGACCTGGTGTCTCCAGCCCCCGTGAGGCTGAGGGCTAAGCAGGTGTTCACCTGTGAGCCAGCGCGCGCATGTGGGTCTCTGGGAAAGAAACAGGCTCCGAAATGTGCGGACGTGAAAGAGTGCGTGCTTTGTGCAGCCGAAGGGTCGTAAGGCGGTACCTGTTTTAGGGGGGCGATGTATGGCTGTGACTGTTCCAGAAGACTGTCGACCGCGTGTGATCCCACCGCAGCCTCCTGTGTAAGACAGGCGGGACTGCGTTTGGGAGATTGCAGAAGATCCTTTCAGGAGATGGTTCCTGCAATTCAGGAATTCCGTATTCCAACAGGGAGAGAAAAGATTTACCTTGATGCCGCAATTATCTAAAGCAGTGTTAAAACAAATTCCCAGGAGAAAATAGCATAGTGCTGGACAGTCAGCCAAGTTTTTGTGCAGGGGACCTTAAAGTGGGGTTTGGAGGAATAAGCAGGATTCGGAGCTGAGAGGGCATTCTCAGCAAACAACAGAGATCCAAGACTTAGCTGCTGGAGTGACCTATCCCTGGGCTGACCTGGGGGCTCCTGCTCCGTTCTTATTGATAGACCTTTTGTGCATGCTGCATTGTCATTTCATTTACCCGAGCTTGATTATACTGTTTTAGGGGTGGCTTCGGAGACTTGTCATCCCCTGTGATCCGAGAGGCAGAGGTGACACGCACTGCCAAGAAACAGAGTGCTCAAAAGAGAGTTTTAAGTATCCTTTGCATTTTAAGCATCACGTTACCGATTGTGGTATGTTTAGAATCAGTGTGATAGAATTTTCTTTTTGTGAGCAGTATTAGCTATAATAAAATGCTGTAGAAATTAGGTTTGTTCATTTCACACATAATGTTCTTGATAAATATATTGCTGAAGTTCAATGAGATTAAAATTTATGTTTTCCTGGAAACAAAGATGTTCTGTTTTACTGCTATCATATTTTAGTAAGCTTTTGCTGAGATGAAATTTTCTCTTTTTATTTGAAATCAAAGAACACTTCGGTCAATGTGTAGTTACCTAATATTGACATCCGAGAATTTAAATGGCATGAGGAATTACTTGTTTAAATGGTAGCTATAAAACACCTTGTTCTTAACTGTATTCATGTATTTTGTGTAGTAAAAATTTGGTTAATTCTAACTTTAGTGATCTCTTTTTTGCAAGGAAAATTTTCTTAACTCTTCCTATAGTTCGAACATCCCAAGATGAAAATTTTGTTAATACCACACCAAGAAATCAGATTATCCCTCGAACTCCCAGCTCATTTCGACAGCCTTGTAAGATTTTTGTTATCTGTTTTACCAAGACTGAAAATGAGACTTCAAGAAGTTAATATGGATAATAAGGATGTAAATAATGGACCCAGGATTCAAATATTGGTTTGTTTACTCCAAAGCCTAGGCCTGCTACAGCATACTACCTCAGTATATTTTATAAAATTATCATACAAAAAATTCATTGTAAAATAAGTATCCTTTTTTAAACTATTCAGTTACTGTATAATGAAAATATCTCTATTTGTGGTACATTTTCCCAGTGGGCTCAGTAATAATATAATCTCAAAGTTAGAATAGATTATATTTTCGTTTCATGGAAATGTTAATATTGAAAATATTCAGTTAGGATCTAAATGATTGAATACTGAAAAATCTTTGTTGTTTGTTGGCTTGCTTTGTCTTGATGATGAATGCTTGTGCATCTTGGGCTCTTTTGACTAATCTCTGGTTTGTAGTTACTCCACTGAACCGAAGCTTGCTAAAGCACCCAGATGTTTCCTGCATCCTTGGAACAGGAGGGAGGTCTCCTCGACTTACACAGTCTTCAGGGTTCTTGGGAAATCTGTCCATGGTAAGTGGAAAAATGGGGCTGAAAACATCTCCCTTTTTATACAAGTATATTTGGTTAAAAGCTTTTAAAAAAAAAAAAAAGATTATTTATTAGAAAGGCAGAGAGAGAGGACTTCATCCGCTGGATCATTCTCCAAATGGCCACAATGGCTGGAGCTGCGCCGATCTGAAGCCAGGAGCCCAGAGCTACTTCCAGGTCTCCCACGTGGGTGCAGGGTCCCCAGGACTTGGGCCATCTAATTCTGCTTTCCCAGACACATTAGCAGGGAGCTGGATCAGAAGAGGAGCAGCCAGGACTCGAACTAGCTGGGATGCCAGCACTGCAAGTGGCGGATTTACCCACTGTGCAGGCCCCACGTCAAAAGCCTTTTAATGAAAACTGAAGTCATATTCATCATAAATGTAATTCTATATTATATGCATTGATATAATGAGTTAGACGCTTGAAAAACTAAAGCCCTTAAGTATCTCCTGTCACAAGTAGAGACTGTGACAGCTGCATCATCTACATGCAGATAAAATATTTTAATGTGGCAGTTTGCTAACCAAAATAAATACATTCGAGGCTTGGTTTCTGATGGCTGTAAAAACCATACCCTGCTTTGAAGCACAGAAGAGCTTCAGTAGTAGCATGAGTAGTAGATAAAGGATATCATAAGACAGACTCCGTGTCTCAGCCTGATTTGGCAGGACCTCCAGTTAGTGTGAGAACTGAACCGAATGAGGGGATGCCCAGCCGCTGTGTGCGGCAGGACTGACCGCTCACTTGGTTTGTGGGGAAACCCCACACCCAGTCACAGAAATGATCCGTGTGGTAAGAGCACACGAGAAGAATATGAGTTTATTTTTCTGAACGAGGGAATAAGAGAAAACTCTGGAATCAAATAGATGAGATACACTTCAGGGATTGCTGTGGTGCAAAATTATTTCACTGACTTGTTAAAAATACTCTACAGGGCCAGCGTTGTGGTGCAGCAGGTTAAGCTTCTGCTTGCAATGGTGACATCCTGTATCAGTGCTGGTTCAAGTCCCTGCTGATCCGCTTCCCATCCTGCTCCCTGCGAACTGCCTGGGAAAGCAGCAGCTGATGGCCAAAGTACTTGGGCCCCTGTAACCCACATAGGAGACCCAGATGGAGTTTCTTTCTCGCTCTTAACTTTGTTCTGGCACAGATCTGGCTTTTGGAGCCATTTGGGGAGGGATCTAGCAGTTGGAAAATCTCTCTCTCTCTTTCCGCTTTCCCCCTTCCCCCTGTCTTATGCTTTCTCTGTTGTTCTGCCTTTTAAATAAAACAAATAAATAATTTTTAAAAATACCCCAACAAAAAAGAATGAGTTCTGTTTGAGAAGGACACAGATGGTTTTTATTGGAGTAGTGGACGAAATTAAAATGATTCCCCTGTCTTTGGCTCTGTGCTGACTAAAAAGGCACAGAGATTTTTATGCACACACGAAATTCTCTGAATTAGTATTTTCTGAAGGATGCTTTTGTGTGTTAAACTTCTCATCACAGAAGGTTAAATCTGTCTTTAAAATTTATGGCAGTCATTTGAATTTTTAGATTGTTAAACTGAAGCATCTTTGGAAAATTGCTGGAGAGGCGGGCATTTGACGTAGCAGTGAAGATGCCTGCATCCCATATCAGTGCCTGACTTAGTTCCGGCCCCATCCCAGCTCCAGCTTTCTGCTAACGTGCACCCTGGGAGGCACACTTGATGGCTCTAGTAGTTGAATCCCTCCCACCCACATGGGAGACCCGCATTGAGTTCTTGGCTCCTGGCATAGCCCTGGCTATTAGTAGGACTCTGGGGAGTAAACCACCAGACGAGATCTTTGCCTGACTTTCTCTGTCATTCTGCCTATCAAATAAAGAAAATAAGCATTTAAAAAAGTAAGTTGAACAAAAATTTCATGGAAAATATATATTATTAAATAGCTGTGCATAGATTTAAAGTATTTTTTGAACCAAAATACTTATCTTTTGATTGCATTTTCCATGAACTTTTGAAAGTACCCTCATCTATACTAATGTACCGGGTTTATTTTGTCAGTGTGTGTCTTACTCTACTTTAAAACATGAATGAATTGGCTGCTTCTGAATTTAAGCAAAAGAAATTGGCATTTATTGTACTGCTTCAGCACTGCAAGGTTAATGGTAAAAAGGTTGCACTCTTAAAGGCTAGCACAGGAGAAAATGTGTATTATAAAGTACTTGGAAATTACTTAATCATCAAAAGTATGAGAATACTTCAAAAAGTTCATGGTAAAACAAAAATTTTTTTAAATTATTATTATTATTTAAAGGTTTATTTTACTTATTTGAAAGAGTTACAGAGAGAAGTAGAGATGGAGAGAGGGAGAGAAAGAGGTCTTCCATCTGCTGGTTCACTCCCCAAATGGCTGCAACGGCCAGAGCTGAGCTGATCCAAAGCCACGAACCAGAAACTTCTTCTGGGTCTCCCACGTGTGTGCAGGGGCCCAAGGACTTGGGCCATCCTCTGCTGCTTTCCCAGGCCCATTAGCAGGGAGCTAGATTGGAAGTGGAGCAGCTGGGACTGGAACTGGCACCCAAATGGGATGCCAGCACTGCGGGCCGGGGCTTTAACCTACTGCGCCACAGCACTGGCCCCTAAAAATTACTTTGGTACAAAATAATTTGAAATCCATGCATAATTTTTCATAATAAATGTTTTTACAAACTTTATGAAGTTCCTTGTATTCTCCCAATTTATTTAAATAAATAACTTAAAAATTCTATGTATTTGAAAAGCAGAGAGCTCTCTCATTACTAGTTCACTCCCCAAATGCCCTCAATGGCCAGGGGTGGGCCAGTCCAAAGCCAGGAGCTTGGAACTCAATCCAGATGTCCCAAATGGGTGTCAAGAGACCCAAACATTTGAGCCATTACTTGCTACTTCCCAGGAAGTCAGAATGGAGAGTGGAGCCGGGGCAGGTGAACCCAGGCACCCTAATACGGGATGCAGACATCCCAAGCAGCAGCTTAACTGCTGCGCAAAGGCTCCCTCCTGGCCCGTTTTAATATTAGCCATGAGGAGTGGGCTTCCTAAAGGAACTTGAATCATTTGCTGTTTAATATTTTTACCCTATCTGCTTACCAAGATTTGATTGTGAGCCATTCTTGTTGACGATTTTTCCGCTTGAACCCTGCACTAATGATGAGTACTGAGAAGGAAGTGAGCCAGTAAGCAAGCACCTGCTATAAATTGGCCAAGCCTTTTGTTATACATTGTGTCTTAGAACCCATCATTAGCTTTTTATCTTGGGGAAACTGATCTAAAGATAACATTTTTATTGTTGCTCATGCATGGTTTGGAAAAACTTTTAAAAAAAATTTACTTATTTGAAAGGCAGAGTTACAGAAACGGAGAGGCAGACGGAGAGAGAAAGAGATCTTCCATCTGCTGGTTCACTCCCCAAATGGCCGCAGCACTCAGGGCTGGGCCAGGCCAAAGCCAAGGGTCAGGAGCTTCATCCAGATCTTCCAGATGGGTACAGGGGCCCAAGGACTTGGGCCATCTTCCACTGCTTTCCCAGACACATTAGCAGGGAGCTGGATCAGAAGTGGAGCAGCCGGGACTTGAACTGGCACCCATATGGAATGCCAGCACCACAGGCAGCAACTTTACCTGTTATACCACAGCGCCCGCCCCCTCCATCTTTTTGGAAAAAAAAAAAAAAAAAAATATATATATATATATATTTATTTATTTATTTATTTGAGAGGCAGAGTGACAAAGACAGTGGGAGAGACAGAGAGATTGCCCATCCACTGGATAAGTTCCCAAATGCCCAGAATAGCCAGGATTGCCAGCCTGAAGCCAGGAGTCGGGAACTCCATCCAGGTCTCCCACGTGGGTGGCAGGAACCCAAGGCCTTGGGCCATTATCTGCAGCCTCCCAGGCGTGTTCCCAGGGAACTGGATCAAAAGCGTGGAGTGGCTATGACTCTTGTGTGAGATGCTGGCATCTCAAGCTGCACCAACAATACCTGCCCTCATCTGTTTTTAACTGCTGAAGAAAACTGGTTCTCCCATCCTTTACAGTACTTACGAAGTAGGGCTTAATTTTATCTGCTAATATTAGCTTAATTTTACAAAATGTAATCCTTACTAACTTTTTTAAAAGCATGGAGTAATACAAAGAAGAAAACATTAAAAATCCATAAATTCCCTAACATAATAACCCCTGTTGGCTTCTTTTAAAAGTAAAATACACAGAAGTAATGTTTTTAAAATGTGGTTGAACCTTATTCATTTTTGAAGCATTTGTTCACTCAGTGACAATAGCTCCATCACTTTCTGCATCTTTTTCCTTCCAAGATAACCAATCTGGATGACAGTAACTGGGCGGCTGCGTTCTCATCCCAGCGCTTAGGGCTGTACACAGGCGTGGACGCCCACAGTGTCACAGAGGACGTGAATCTCAGCGCGGTCATGCTACGTGAGGATGATCCTGGCGAGGCTGGTAAAGTGGCTTGGAGCCTTGCGATAAAGCGGTTCTTCTCCTGACTAATGTCACGATGTTTTCTTCTCCTGTTCCTGAATGTCATGGTTTTATTTTTTCCTTTAAAGGGAGGGATGGCTTTAAAAAACCAGAAATTTATTTTCTTGCAATTCTGGAGGCTAGAAATCCAATGTACAGATATCTGCAGGGTTGGTTTTTTCTAAGGCCTCTTCCTCTTTCCTTCCATGGGAGGACAATTCCTATCAGGGAAGTCTTTGCTGGGTCTTCCCTCTGTCTGTATATTTGTCATTGTGCGAATTGCTTTTGCTCTTGGCTGTCTCTGGAAGTGTGAGAACCTGAGAAGCCCTCCTGGGTTGTCAGCAGCGTCTTGCCATTGTATCTGTTAGCGTAAACAGCAGCCTTTGGATCATTGCAGGTCTCCTATTTGTATTCTTATTTGTGCCACCAAAGGAACTTACCTTTTTGGTTAGGCTTAGCTGTAATCTAACACTGCTGATGTGTTGAGCTTTAACCTGGACAGCAGTGCTGCTTTTTCAGAAAGTATTGTAACTTTGCTAGTTTTAGGTTTGTTACTAACGTTTCCTTTTGTACAAGACCATTTGCTTTTAGTGTCTGTGTACCTACATATCATGTTCTTGAGTTTATCATCATCATCAGCTACCTTATGGATGTTAATTGTGTGGTTATCACTCTCTGAATATGAACTCCTGGAATCCTTACCAAGATCCATTACATAGTTAGAATGATTGTTCTCATTTTAGAGGAAAGGAAACCACTGCTCAGATTGGCTAACTGGCTTGCAGAAAATCGCCCAGCTAGGAAGTAGTGGCACCAGGATTTGAAACTAAACAGTTTGATTCCAGAGCCTTGCCCTTAACACCATGGTAACCACCACTTTCTTGCAGTGTCTGCAGTAATACATACTTGAATCTTGGGTTCCCCAAAAATACTTCCTACTTATTCTGTAAAATACAAGAATTCAATTTTAGGATGAGAACTCAAATATTAGTAGAGCAAATGCATTTTCCCTTACCTGAACAGAGCATTGAGTAGCTACTGTAATTCTTAGCCATTTTGTTATGCTGTGCTTAAAATGTAATTCAGATGCTTTAAAATGTGGCCCAATTTTTAAAATTGTTGACAAAATAGGAAACATTAATGACTACTGTATCTTTGGGATCTTACAAGACTAATAGGTTACAAATGAAAAAATAGATAAGTTGGACTATGCCAAAATCTTAAATTTCTACGCCTCAAAGAATCTAATCAACAGAGTGAAAAGGCAGCCTGTGGAATAGTGGGAAATATTTGCAAATTAGCTGAAAGGGGGCTTAAATCCAAAAAATAAAAAAAAAAAACTCCTGTAACTGCTGTAACTCAGAAAATGGGCAAAAATTTTGAATAGATGTTTCTCTGAAGATTTTCAAATAGCTAGTAAGCACGTGAAAAGGTGAAATCACTTATCTTTAGAGAAATGTAGATCAAAACTAATATGAGATGCCACCTTACACCATTAGGAGGTCTATAAAAAACGGAGAAAATGACGAATTTGAAAATGATGTGGAGAAATTGAAACCCTTGTATACTATTAGTGGGAATGTAAAATGGTGCAGCCACTTTGGAAAATAGTAAAGCAGTTACTCAAGAAACTGAACGAGGAATTACCTTATGATCCAATAGTTCTGCCTATGCATATATACCCAAAGGATGTGAAAGCAAGATTTCAAAGAGATATTTAAATACTCATGTTCATAGTAGCCAAAAAGTAGAAGCAGCTGAGTGTCCATCCATTGTGTGCTATTTACATAAAATGTAGTAGTAGTATTTAGCCAAAAAGGAAGGACATTCTGACACCTGCTAACATGGATAAACCTTGAGACATTGCTAAATGAAATAAGCAAGTCAAAATAGGACAGACTAGATCATATAGATCTCCCTTATATGAGATACTTAGATTGATAGAGATAGAAAGTGGAATGGTGGTTGCGAGGGACTGGGGATAGTGAGGAATTGGCAGTTATTGCTGAATGGGTAGAGTTATAGTTTTGCAAGGTAAGAATGAGTGTTGTGGAGTTGGTGATAGTAGCACAACATTGTGGATGTGCTTAGTGTCACTGAACTGTGTACACTTAAAAATAGTTACAATGGTAAATTTTCTTTCTTTACAGTGGTAAATTCTTTTTAAAAACTATGTTTTTAATTTTTCAAGCAAAATTACCTAAAAGTATGTCCTATAACTTTTCTTTTTTCCTTTTCTTTTTAATGTATTTTAGCATCCATGAGTATGTTTTCTGATTTCCTGCAGTCTTTTTTGAAGCACTCTTCAACTACAGTTTTTGACCTTGTGGAAGAGTATGAAAACATTTGTGTTAGTCAGGTGAGCTGATTTCACCCTGTCATCAAACTCTAGTACTTTTAGTTTGCTAAACAGCATTAACCTGCTAATATCTATTGTGTACTGAAAGGGGATGTGTAGGAATTTAGTGGCAAAAATAGCGGAGAGTGCAACCAGATCAATTTTTTTAAAAAAGAATCTTATATTTATTTGAAAGGCAGAGTAAGAGAGACAGAGAGAGAGATTTTTCCACCCAAATGGCTGCAATGGCCAGGGTTGGGTTATATGGAAGTCAGGAGCCTGGAATTTCATATGGGTATCCCACGTGGGTGACAGGTGCCCACTGCTGTCTTTTTAGGCACATTAACAGGAAGCTGGAAGGAAGTGGAGCAGCTGGAACTCGAACCAGCATTTGTATGTGGGATGCCAGTATTGCATGCAGCATCTTAACCCACTGTCCACCATGCTGGCTCCCTACAAAGAACACTTAAAGCTCAACAATAAGGAAATGAATAATGCTATTAAATGAACAAAAGATGTGCAGATATCAAGTGGACGTGTTAAAAATTATTCCATGTAGAGCCGGCGCCGTGGCTCAATAGGCTAATCCTCCACCTTGCGGCGCCGGCACACCGGGTTCTAGTCCCGGTTGGGGCGCCGGATTCTGTCCCGGTTGCCCCTCTTCCAGGCCAGCTCTCTGCTATGGCCAGGGAGTGCAGTGGAGGATGGCCCAGGTGCTTGGGCCCTGCACCCCATGGGAGACCAGGAAAAGCACCTGGCTCCTGGCTCCTGCCAGGATCAGCGCGGTGCGCCGGCTGCAGCGGCGGCCATTGGAGGGTGAACCAACGGCAAAAGGAAGACCTTTCTCTCTCTGTCTCTCTCTCTCACTGTCCACTCTGCCTGTCAAAAAAAAAAAAAAAAAAAAAATTATTCCATGTCATATGTCATTAACGAATTACAAATTAAAATGAGATCCTACTTCACACTTGTTAGAGTGGCAAAAATACAAAACACCACCAAAAGCTGATGAGAATGTGAGACAACAGGAGCCCTCATTCATTGCTAATAGGAATGAGAAGCAAAACAGCGACTTTGGAAGACAGTTTGGCCATTTCTTGCAAAACTAAATATATTCTTAACTATATGATCCGGTTATGCCATTCTTTGGTATTTACTCAAATGAATTGAAAACAGTCTACCCAGAGACCTGCACATGGATATTTATAGTGGCTTTATTCACAAAAACTTGGAAGCAACTAGGTTACCCTTTAGTGGGTGAAGGAATAAACTGATACATCCAGTAGGTAGAATAGTGCTGAAAAGGAATGAGCTATCAGGCCATGAAGAGACACAAAAGAATCTAAAATGCATATTGCTAAGAGAGAGGCCAGTCTGAAAAAACTCTGTGCTGATTCCAGCTAACTGACAGCCTGGAAAAGGCAGAACCATGGAGATGGTAAAAGATCAGTAGTTGCTGTGGTTGGTGAAGAGGGAAGGATGAATAGGTAGAGCATGGAAGATTTTTAGGGCAATGAAATTATTCTGTATGATACCAAACTATGGGATACTTGTTAGGTATTTGTCAAAACCCAGAGTGAGCTAACATAAACTCTGGGCTCTAGGTGATAAAGAAGTGTCACTGATGAGAGCAGGTGCAGGATAGTGATCATGAGGGAGGCTGTGTGTAGGTGGGGCGGGATTATTTGGGTCCTTTACTCTCTGGGCATTTTTGCTTTGAACCTAAATCTGTTATGAAAAATAACATCTAATTTTTAAAAAGGAGGAAAGGCTTCAAGACGCTATTGATTTGAAAGCAATAGAGATAATAATCTTGCTAGCCAACATTCATGAGCATTTAACAGTTCCAATTATCCATCTCTGAATTGTTCTATTATAAAAACAATTGGTTAGGGGCCGGCGCCGTGGTGCAGTAGGTTAATCCTCCGCCTGCGGCGCTAGCATCCCATATGGGTGCCGGTTCTAGTCCCAGCTGCCCCTCTTCCAATCCAGGTCTCTGCTATGGCCTGGGAAAGCAGTCAAAGATGGCCCAAGTGCTTGGGCCCCTGCACCTGCATGGGAGACCAGGAAGAAGCTCCTGGCTCCTGGCTTTGGATAAATGAAGCTCCGACCCCGCTCCGACCATTACGGCCATTTGGGGAGGGAACCAACAGAAGGAAGACCTTTCTCTCTGTCTCTTCTCTCCTTGTCTGTAACTCTACCTCTCAAATAAATAAATAAATAAATATTCTTAAAAAAAAATTGGGTAAATAACAGAAACCCTAACAATCACTCAGTGAATCAGTGGAGTCAGGATTCCAAGTGAGTTTAACAATGATTGAGAAGTATAGATAACACTTTTTTTTTTTAATATTGAAGTAAACTTTAATGAAAGGAATATACCTACCTAATAGACCAGGTGGACATCTCAGAAAAGCACTGAAATCCCAGTCTGCATTCAGAGTACTTTTTCATTTATTTATTTGAGAGACAGAAACATCTTCCATCCATTGCTTCAATCCCTAAATGACCACAATGACTAGAGCTGGGCTGATCAGGAACTTCTTCCTGGTCTCCCACATGGGTGCAAGGGTCCAAGTACTTGGGGTATCTTCTACTGCTTTCCCAGGCCAGAAGAGAGCTGGATCAGAAGAGCAGCTAGGACATGAACTGGTGCCCATATAGGATGTGGATGCAATAGGTGGCAGCTTTATCCACTACACCACAGCGCTGGCCCCTCAGAGCACTTTTTTATTTATTTTCATTTACTTATTGTTTTTAAAGAGTTATTTATTTTATTTGAGAGGCAGAGAGAGAGTGAGAGAGGTCTCCCATCCGTTAGTTCACTCCCCAAATGGCTGTAACAGCCGGAGCTGGTCCAATCCGAAGCCAAGATCCGGGAGCGTCTTCCGGGTCTCCCACGTGGATGCAGGGGCCCAGGGACTTGAGCCATCTTCTACTGCTTTCCCAGGCCATAGCAGAGAGCTGGATCGGAAGAGGAGCATGTGGGAGCCCATGTGGGATGTTGGCACTGCAGGTGATGGCTTTACCTGCTATGCCACAGTGCCAGCCCTGCACTCTTAGAATACTAGTGTTAAGGGCCAGCACCCTGGTGCAGTAGGTTAATCCTCCTCCTGCGGCGCCACCATCCCATATGGGTGCCGGTTCTAGTCCTGGCTGTTCCTTCTTCGATTCAGCTCTCTGCTGAGGCCTGGGGAAGCAGTAGAAGATGGCCCAAGTGCTTGGGCCCCTGCACCCAGTTGGGAGACCCAGAAGAAGCTCCTTGCTCCTGGCTTCAGATCGGCACAGCTCCAATCATTGCGGCTATCTGGGGAATGAACCAGTGGAAAGAAGACCTTTCTCTCTGTCTCTCCCTCTCACTGTCTGTAACTCTACCTTGCAAATAAATAAATAAATAAAGCTAGTGTTAAGGCATTAGTTTGTGAATACTTTTCTTTTTCTTTTTCTTTTTTTTTTTTTTTTGACAGGCAGTATGGACAGTGAGAGAGAGAGACAGAGAGAAAGGTCTTCCTTTACCGTTGGTTCACCCTCCAATGGCCGCTGCGGCCTGCGCACCACGCTGATTCGAAGCCAGGAGCCAGGTGCTTATCTTGGTCTCCCATGGGGTGCAGGGCCCAAGGACTTGAGCCATCCTCCACTGCACTCCCTGGCCACAGCAGAGAGCTGGCCTGGAATAGGGGCAACCCGGACAGAATCCAGCGCCCCGACCGGGATTAGAACCTGGTGTGCTGGCGCTACAGGCGGAGGATTAGCCTATTGAGCCGCGACGCTGGCAGAATACTTTTTTTTTTTTTTTTTTTTTAAGATTTATTTTATGTATTTGAAAGGCAGAGTTACAGAGAGGGAGATCTTCCATCTGGTGGGTTACTCCCCAAATGATCACAACCGCCAGGGCTCGGCCAGGCTGAATTCTGGAACCAGGAGTAGGTTAATCCACGTGGGTGCAGAAGCCCAAACACCTGGACCATCCTCCCTGCTTTCCCAGGCACATTAGCAAGGAGCTGGATAGGAGTGCAACAGCCAGGACTCTAACCAGTGCCCAAAAGGGTTGCTGGTGTCGCCTGCAGTGGCCTTACCTGCTACACCACAACAGCAACCCCCACGAAAACTTTTTTCTTTGGGGGGTGGGGAGGATAAGAAAACCTGTTATGATTCTTCATGGTCTGAATGATAGTACTTCTACTTCTTAATAAGGAGATACTAGTCATAACCTTTGAGAAGTTTCTCTTACCCTGGGTTCTTAGCCACCTAGTCAGTAATTTTGTCCATGTTTCTGGAGAGAATATTCATACCTGACAATAAATTTTCACATTCACCTTAGTCCCACAAAGGATTAAGACTACCATTCTGGGCCCTGTGCTGTGGCCTGTAGCACCACCTTCCCATATGGACACCAGTCTGAGTCCCAGCTGCACCACTTCCTATTCAGTCCCCTGCTAATGACCTGGGAAAGCATCAGAAGATGGCCCAAGTGCTTGGGCCCCTGCACCCATGTGGGAGACCCAGATGAAGCTCCTGGCTCCTGGCTTCAGCCTGACCCAGCCCTGGCTGTTGCACCTATGTTGTGACTGAACCAGGGGATGGAAGATCTCTCTGTTTAACTCTTTTTTTTTTTTTTTTAAAGATTTATTTATTTTATTTGAAAGAGTTACACAGAGAGAGGAGAGGCAGAGAGAGAGAGAGAGGTCTTCCATATGTTGGTTCACTCCCCAGATGGCCGCAACAGCTGGAGCTGCGCTGATCCGAAGCCAGGAGCCAGGAGCTTCTTCTGGGTCTCCCACATGGGTGTAGGGGCCCAAGCACTTGGGCCATCTTCTACTGCTATCCTGGGCCATAGCAGAGAGCTGGACAGGAAGTGGAGCAGCCGGTCTCGAACCAGCTATGGGATGCTGGTGCTTCAGGCCAGGGCATTAACCCACTGCGCCACAGCATCAGCCCCTGTCTTTCGAGTAAATGAAAAAATCTTTAAAAAATTTCTGTAACAAGAAAACTTTGGTGCAGTTTTGTGTAGAAATGAAAATTTTAGTAACACTCATAGGAAAGTAGTTTTCTTGATTTGTTACATGGGAAAACTTCCCAATTGAATATTAAGATTTCTCTTTTTAAATTTTCATTGCTACTGTGTTGGCTCATGTTTTGATTTTGTCATATAAGGTTTGATTCAGCTTATCCTCTCATTAAATATACAGGGAGGAAAAAAATGTGCCTAAGACTACTATTGTTGAATCTGAGATCTAGAATATATAAACTTTTACATGTATACTTACATAAACAACTTGCTCCATTTTCTACTGGGAATGTTATAATACATTCAGTTAAAAAGCAGGATAAGAAGAATTTATAATATGTCTCTGTGTTACATAAAATATTGCCTTAACGCTGGACTTAAAGAATACAGTTATTTGTTACTTGGAATTGTAGGAAAGTAACCTCTGTACATTTGTATTGTTAATTCAGGTGAACATATTAAGTAAAATAGTGAGCCGAGCAACACCTGGACTTCAGAAGTTTTCAAAAACAGCCAGCATGCTGTGGCTTCTTCAGCAGGAGATGGTTACGTGGAGACTGCTGGCTTCATTGTATAGGTAAAGCTGTGTGGAACCCATGAGTGAAGTAAACATAAGGAAAGGAACCAATTGGTGAATTATTTTAAAAGTTGGAGTAGAGTATGCTTGGAAATAGGGGTCTGCTATTTAGCATTTCTAATATGTTCGTTATAGTGAATTATGAGGAAAGATGGGAATATGTATATTTAAAGAAAATGTTAAAAATACAGCAGTACATAGGAGAGGATAGAATAAGAACTGACAGATAAAACTATGTAATAAGGAAATTTGAAAGATATTAGCCAAATTTTCCTTCTCTTAGAGCTGAGTGGTTTCAGCTCTCATTCTGTTGTTTTCTCATGTTAATGAGAAGATGTTGGGAGAAACTCATATTATCTCTTTATTTTTAACCATATGTGAAGATGTATGCATTAATGGGTAGCCATTAAAGTCTAGTTTTGCAAGCTGGAGGCATCACAATACCAGATTTCAAGACATACTGTAGGGCAGTTATAATCAAAGCAACCTGGTACTGGCATGAAAATAGATATGCAGGCCACTGGAACAGAATAGAAACTCCAGAAATCAATCCATGCATCTACAACCAACTAATTTTTGACAAAGGAGCTAAAATGATTCCCTGGAGAAAGAACAGTCACTTCAGCAAATGATACTGGGAACATTGGATCTCCACATGCAGAAGTATGAAATAAGACCCCTGCCTTACACATATACAAAAATCAATTCAAAATGGATCAGGGATCTGAACTGTGACCTGATACCATCAAAATACTAGAGGAGAATATTGGGGAAACTCAGCAAGACATTGGTATAGGCAAACACTTTTTGGAAAAGACCTCAGCAGCACAGGCATTCAAAACCAAAATAGACAAATGGGATTATAGCAAGCTGAGAAGTTTCTGTACTCCAAAACACTTAGCAAAGTGAAGAGACAGCCGACAGAATGGGAGAAAATATTTGCAAACTATGAAACTGATAAAGGATTAATATCCAGATTCTATAAAGTGCTGAAGAAACTCAACAAAGTAAATAATCTGTTAAGAAATGGGCAAAGGACTTGAACAGGCATTTTTCAAAAGAAGAAATTCAAATGGCCATCAGGCACATGAGAAAATGTTTGGGATCACTAGCCATCAGGGAAATGCAAATTAAACCACAATGAAGTTTCATCTCACCCCAGTTAGAATGGCTTTCATACAGAGATCAACAAACAGTAAATGTTGGCAAGGATATGAGGAAAAAGGTTCCCTAATCCACTGTTGGTGGAAATGTAAGCTGGTGCAGACTCTGTGGAAGATAGTATGGAGATATCTCAGATACCTGAATATAGACCTACCATATGATCCAGCCACTCCACTCCTGGGAATTTACCCAAACAAAATGAAGTCATCATCTCAAAGAGTTATCTGTACCCCCTTGTTCATTGCAGTTCAGTTTATAATAATTAAGATATGGAATCAACCCAGATGTCCATCAACATCTGGATTGATGACTGGGTAAAGAAATTATGGTATATATACACTACAGAATACTACTCAGCCATAAAAAGGAATGAAATTCTGTCTTTTGCAACAAATAGATGCAGCTGGAAGCCATTATATTTAGTGAAATAAGTCAGTCCCAAAAAGACAAATACCCTATGTTTACCCTGATCTGTGGTAATCAATAGAGTACCTAAAATATAATGTATTAGAGTGAAATTGACATTTTGAAACTTGTTGTTCATTTACAGCCCTTGTTTCTGTTGTTGAGGAAGTGTTTTTGTTCTTCATACTATTTGTTGAATTGTTTACTTTGTGTAGGGTTAATCTTATAAGTATAAAGTAAATTGAAAATAGATCTTTGAAAAAATTAAGAGTGGGAATATGAGAGGGAGGAGGAAGAGTGGGAGCATGAGCAGGAGGAAGGGAAGGGTGGGAAGTGTCACTATGTTCCTATATGAAATACATGAAATTTATATAAGTTAAATAAAATTTTTAAAAAATAGGAAAAAATGACTAGTTTTACAGCATGTATTTTTAATAAATACTGTTTTGTTCAGGTGTCAGATTCAGAAGGCATTTATCACTTATGTCATACTTAAAGTGCAGTGACTATGTTAATGGGAAATTCATTTGTTTACATATAGCTTAAAGATAAGTTCATGTATTTGTATGAAACAAGGGTTTTTCATTTTGTTATATTTCCTCAGAGACAGAATACAATCTTCAATAGAAGATGAAAATATGTTCGCAGTTACTGTAAGTTTTATTTTTTTTTTACTTTATAAATGCTTACAAGTTAAAAAAAATGTGTTTAGCAATAGGATTGGATTCTTGATCTTCATCTTGAAGTTCACCATTTAAAAATTTTTGTAATTAAATAAAAGATATGATCTCATTAAATAAATTTTTTATTTATGTTGGAGAGTAAAACATTGAGATTATGATATTGCCTACTTAATTGTCTGTACCAGTTTATATTCTCACTAACATGTATGAAAATGGTTTTACTCTGATATGGGATGTTAGTAATAGTTTGATTTTACCACTTGGGCATGAGGTTTCTCATTGTTTTGACATCCTTGATCACTGGTGAGGTAGAGTGTATTTTGTCTCCATTCATATTGCTTACATGAATTCTGTATTTATAGCTTTGCTCATTTTCATATTGTTTTCCTATTTATTCTTTCTCATGTATGTTAGAGATTCTCTTTTTTATTTGTCTTTCAACTTTGTTGAAGGGTTCCTTTCTATTTTTGTCTCATCTGTCTTGTTTTCCATTAGCATTACATATATCTTGGTAAAGGAGGCCTTTCCTACCTATTTTAAAAATATTTCCCATGGCCAGCATTGAGTGTCGGGGTTAACCTGCAGCCTGCAATGCTGGCTTTTCTTCTTCCAATCTAACTCTCTGCTAATGCACCTGGGAAAGCAACAGAAGGTGACATAAATGTTTGGGCCCCTCCCACCCACGTGGGAACTGGGATGAAGCTCCTGGCTCCTAGCTTCAACCTGGCCCAGCCCTGGCCGTTGCATACATTTGGAGAGTGAACCAGCAAATGGAAGATCTCTTGCCATCTCTCTCCTTCTCTCTTTTTATAATTCTGCCTTTCAAATAAATAAATAATTCTTTTAAAAAACTTTTCCAGTGTTTTTCACCAGCCTTTCTTGACTTCATCTAGTTCTTTATTACAGTTTTTATTTGTTTCATTTATCTTTGTTTATTTTTACCTGACACCATACCTCTGAGGAAATAGTTTTTAAATTCTGAGATTAATGAATGAAAATAATAGAAGCAGCTGCAGATTGATCTAGCAGTTTGTACTTTGTGTTTTTCAAAGATGAACAACAGATTTAGTATGTGGTAAAATGCTTATTATGTGTGGATGATTAGATACAGTTATTTCTGATTGGTTTTTACCTTTCTGTTGAAATAATGTCCTTAAAGCATCTTTTCTTTCTTTCCTTTAAATTATTTCTTAATAGGCTGTTAATGCCAGTGAGAAAACAGTTGTGGAAGCATTATTTCAGAGGGATTCACTGGTCCGGCAAAGTCAGGTATGGCTAGAATTTCTAAACTTCTTGAAACATAGGAACAGTAAAGTATGAAGGTTTTTTAATTTAAAAGTTTTGTCTTGACTTTTTTTCCTACTCGATCTTTTTATTTTTAATTAAAATGAATTAGGAAAATTTCTTTCTTTTGCCACAATATTTATTTATCTTTAAAAAGAGAAACTAACAGTTGGAAAATATGCATGTAACCCTGCACAGGCCTGACCCCTACCACCACTCCTCTTGCCTGTAAACCTGATTTTCTGCCTCTTGTCTTCCTTACACAGATCTTTAATATGTTTGAAATCAGAAACTATTAAAGAGTAAGGATACCATTACAGATAAAATATTAATAGATGTCACTAATCTTTTTTTCTTTCCTAGCTGGTGGTAGATTGGTTAGAGAGTATTGCCAAAGATGAGATTGGAGATTTTTCTGATAATATCGAGTTTTATGCAAAATCAGTATATTGGTAAGTCATTAATGTTTTATTTTTTTAAAAGATTTATATTATGTACTTGTTTGTTTATTCAAAGGCAGAGCATGAGAGAGATAAATACTGATCTTTCATCCAGTGGTTCACTCCAGGTGGCCACAGGCTGAAGTTAGGAACCAAAAACTACATCTCCGTCGTGGTCTTCCACTTAAGGTGACAGAGGCCCAAATTCTTGGGTCATCATCTGCTGCTTTCCCATGTGCATTAGCAGGAAGCTGGATCAGAAGCAGGCAGTACCTGATCCAGCACTCTGACATGGGATGCTGGCATAAGTGGCAGTTTAAAGTGTTGCACAATAAACCCAGCCCCTAAACTTTTGTTCTTGAAGTCATATAATGTTGGTTTTGTTTACTTATCTTTCAATAAATACTTATTCTCTTTTGACTTTGTTTAGTCTGTGAGCAAAATAGATAAAAGAAAAGCTCTGTCTTCATGGAATTTATAATTAGGAGAGTTGGATAAAAAATATATTGTCAGGAATTTTTCTTTGGGAGAAAAAAAGAATCAGAGTTAATGGGTAGACAACGACAATGAGTCCTACTTTAAATGGAACAGGTGGCCAGGGAAGGATTTCTAAGGTGCGTCAAATAATAAGAGTCTCGGCCGGCGCTGCGGCTCAATAGGCGAATCTTCCTGTGGTGCCAGCACACCAGGTTCTAGTCCCGGTCAGGGCGCCGGATTCTGTCCCGGTCGCTCCTCTTCCAGGCCAACTCTCTGCTGTGGCCCGGGAGGGCAGTGGAGGATGGCCCAAGTGCTTGGGTCCTGCACCTACATGGGAGACCAGGAAAAGCACCTGGCTCCTGGCTTTGAATCAGCATGGTGCACTGGCTGCAGTGGCCACTGGGGGGTGAACCAACGGCAAAAGGAAGACCTTTCTCTCTGTCTCTCTCTCTCACTGTCCACTCTGGCTGTCAAAATAATAATAATAATAATGTCTCTTAGAAAATAAAGGTGATTGGGGCAGGCATTTAGCCCAGGGGTTAAAATGCCAGTTAAGACACCCATGGCCTATACCGGCTTACTTGGATTTGATGCCAGGCTCCGGCTCCTGCCTCCAGCTGTCTACTGATGTGGACCCTGGGAGGCAGTGGCTCAAGAGATTAGGTTCCTGTCAGCCATGCAGGAGACCTGAATTGAGATCCCAGCATCCTTAGCTGTTGGAAACCGGCAGTTGAAAACTCTTTGTCTTTCAAAAAAATAAAAATTTTTTAGAAGAAAAAAGGAGGGACCGGCACTTTTGCTTAGCAAGTAAAGCTGCCACCTACAGTGCCAGCATCCCGTATGGGCTCTGGTTTGAGTCCCAGCTGGGCTGCTCCACTTCCGATCCAGCTCTCTGCTATGGCCTGGGAAAGCAGCAGAAGATGGCCCAAGTCCTCGGGTCCCTGTCCACCCTTGTGGGAGACCTGGAAGAAGCTCCTGGCTTCGGATCGGATCAGCTCTGGCTGCTTTGGCCATTTGGCGACTGACCCAGTGAATGGAAGACCTTTCTGTCTTTCTCTGTCTCTGCCTCTGCCTCTCTGTAACTTTACCTTTCAAATAAATAAATAAATCTTTGGGGGAAACAAAAAAGGAAAGAAATGAAGGTGGCAAGCCATCCAGAAATCTGGGGGACAAATACTTTGGACAAAATTGAAACTACAAAGTCCCTAAAAGGGTAAAGTATTGGTACAAGAAGTTAACCAACAGTGGAAGATTTCTCTGTCTCTTCCTTTCTGTCACTGTGCCTTTCAAATAAATAATCATTAAAAATTTTTTTTCATTAACACCATTAAGAAGATGGAGGGAGAAGGGTGTCAGCCCTTTTGTGCAGTGAATAAGCCTCTACTTGTGATACCCATATCACATATTGGAGTGCTGGTTCAAGTCCCAGCCACTCCATTTTGATCTAGTGGTTAAGCTGCAGATGATGGCCTGAGTACTTGGAAGCCTGTCACCTGTGTTACCAGATGAGGTTCCTAGCTCCTGGCTTCAGCCTGGCCAAGTGCTGGCTATTGTGGGTATTTGGGGTGTAAACTAGTGGATACAAGTTTTATTTCTGTCTCTCCTTTTCAAATGAATAAAGGTTTTTTTAATCACTCCTTTTCCTTTCAGGGAAAATACTCTGCACACCTTAAAGCAACGACAGCTAGCATCTTATATAGGAAGTGTCCGTCCTCTTGTCACTGAATTGGTAAGTGTTTCAGAGTTAAGTGCATTTTTTTTAAGAGAGTTTTTCTTATTTTGGGTCTTTGTTTAGTTTCTTGAATATTTCACTCTAATACAATGAAGTTGAATTTGAACTTTATGGAATGTATTTCAACATATCCCATGGCCTCTGAATTGTAAAAGAAGACATGGGAAGTTGCCTAATTTAAAACAAATTGATGTGGTTTTACAGGTTGAATCCTTCAACGATAAGGTAGTGACCCTTGCAAGCTTTTTTCTGTAAAAAGCAGGGGAAAAAATAATGCCTTATGAATTAGCTTGAGGTTAGGAAGGTTATTCTAGGATATGAGTAATAGGAGTAACAGTGGATTGGAAAAGAACAAGAGCCAATTTATTTCTCATGTAAAGAAATAGAGCTTTGTGGCGGGTGTGGGGAGCGGGTATGTGAAATGTTTGTAATGAAGGGAGAGAGAAATAAGTAACAATTGAAAAAATTAATCTAATTCCATTTGGTAACAAAGATGGTTTTTGATAAAAATTGTTCGGAAACTACTAGGGCTTGGAATAAATTGTAGCTCAATTACCTTGTAGTAAGCAACAGCTGAAAATCATTTACTCTTAACTACTAGAAAATAGTGATTTCCTTTTGCCAAAGAGAGACCATGTTCCAAAATTGAATGATTGCGTCTGCAAAGTATTTGTGAAAGTAGCCAATTGACTTATGCTTTCCATTTTCTAAATTGATACTGTACAGTCAGTCACATTTGAAATAAAAACTGTTTCCTTTCTTAAGTCACATTAAATAGTTTTCATTTAAAATTCTTGAGGATCATGTGTGCTGTTCACCACTAAAGTGAGGGCAGTTTACTATCCTAAATGTTGAAAGTCATGTGAAAGATAGTGTATGGGAATTACTGTTTTAGGGAATTTTAATTATCAGAAATCTGGTTAAATTTTTTTCTTGGGCATTAGACATTAATCTTCACTAAGTACTTAATAAGTTGTCTCTCCATATATTCTCAGAAAGTACCAAGCAAATACTGCCTATTCATAGAATAAATGCCTTCCATTTTTTTCTCCGTGTCCTTCCTCCATCTTGGTCTAATTCTGTTTAGAATTAACATAGCCACATAGCTGCTGTGACAGAATGAATTCAAGTGATCTTTTAGTGTTAGGTGAGCTGGGCTAGGATAGTGGTCTTTCTCAGAATACCTTGCCTAATCTAGGCATGCATTATTGTGGGACAACAGAGTCTGTTTTAAGGAGGGCAGGGGGTGATTGTGTAACTCTTTGGACACAATCATTCCTTTTGTTACTTACACAATCACTCCCTTGTGACATTCTCATACCCTTGTTTCTTAGCTAAATTGTAAATGAATTTATTTCTGTGGTCAAACTTGGGACAGATTTTTCGTCTCTTGATATTTAAAATATGTATAGGGACAAGGAATTTTAGATGATTTTTTTTTTAACAGGATCCTGATGCTCCTATAAGACAGAAGATGCCCCTTGATGATCTGGATAGAGAAGATGAAGTTAGATTACTCAAATATCTTTTCACTCTAATCCGTGCTGGAATGACAGATGAGGTAAATCAAGTGTATCCTTCATATCAAATTTCAAAAAGGCATAGGCTCTTTAACATGGAAAATAATCTTTGTGGCCACCTAGTGTGCTTTGTCAGTGCAGTAATCCCATCCATGGTATTTCTGGATCTAACCTTCTGTTTGAACATTTCTGGTAATAAGATATAGATTCCTTTAGAAAGCAGTTTGCACAACTCTGATTTTTAGAAATTCACTCTAACCGTTCAAACGTTGCCTCCCTATGTTGCATGGCATTCCCTTCATATATCCTGTTATTTCTAATTATGATTTTTTAAGAGTTCAGAATATGTCTAACCCTAATTGAAAATGACACTGTTCAGGTGCTTGAAGACTAAACCAGCACCCATATGAGTTACTGGCATTGCAGGCAGCAGCTTAACCTGCTATGCCACAATGCCAGCCCCTAGCATAATATTTTTAAGGTTGTAAATTCAAGGTTTATTTTTTAAGGATTTATTTATTTATTTGAAAGAATGGCAGAAAAAAGCATTCTTCCACCTCTGATTCACTCTCCAAATGCCTACACTAGCTAGGACTGGGCCAGGCTGAAGCTGGGAGCCCAGAACTCCATCAGGGTCTCCCGTGTGGTTGAGAGGTCATGAATTCAGAACGATGTCTGGAGTAGGATAGTTTTTAACTGGTTAATCAGGCTCTGGAGCTCTAGTGACGGAAACCCTGCTCACTGTGTGCTTACAAGGGGAAGGTTGATTGGCTCCTGGAAATGAGAAGCATAGAGGGTTGTATCTGGCTTGAAGCAGGATCCTGGGATGCCAGAAATGTTACCAGGATATTGTGTCTCCCCGAGACTCTAATTCTGCCCTCCTGGACCTCCCTCTGGTGTCACTCCAGGAAGCCACTCCCATATTGTGCCAGAGATGGCCACCAGCAGCTCCAAGTTCAGCATCCTCCCATTAGCTAGCAATCCTAGATAAAAGAGTGGATTCTCTCTTCTGCTCTTCTGGTATCTCCTCCTGCAAGGTTTTTTTTTTTTTTTAAGGTTTTGGTTTTTGTTGTTTTTTGTTGTTGTTGTTGTTGTTTTTTAATTTGAAAGAGATACAGAGAGAGGGAGAGACAGAGAGAAATGTCTTCCATCCACTGGTTCACTCCCTGAGTGGCTGCAACTGCCAGAGCTAGACCAGGCCAAAGCCAGGATCCAGGAAGTTCTTCTGAGTCTCCCACGTGGGTGCAAGGGCCCAAGCACTTGGGCCATCTTCTGCTGCTTTTTCAGGCTCATTAGCAGGAAGCTGGATCAGAAGTGGAATAGCCAGGACTCAAACTGGCGCCCACACAGGATGTCGGTACAGCAGGCTGGGGCTTTTTAACCTGCTGTGCCACAGCAGCAGCCCCTCCAGAAAGTTTGTTGGTTGATGATTTTTAGTACGTGCTTACCCCTAGGGTTTCAAAATGGGATCACAGGCAACCCATGTGAACTAAGCATGAGGAGGGGGTTGGTGCTGTGGCGTAGTGGTAAAGCCGCCACCTGTGATACCAGCATCCCCATGTGGGTACCGGGGCAAGTCCTGGCTGCTCGACTTTGGATCTAGTCCCTGCCAAAGGCCTGAGAAAAGCAGTGGAAGATGGCCCAAGTGCTTGTTCCTACCACCCATATGGGAGACCTAGGTGAAGTTCCTGGCTTTAGCCTGGCTCTGCCCTGGCTATTGCAACCATCTGGGGAATGAACCAGTGGAATGAAGATCACTCTACTCTGTCTCTCTCCTTCTCTCTCTAATTCAGACTTTCAAAATAAATAAGTAAGTCTTAAAAGAAAAAAGATAGAATGAGGAAGGGATGATGGAACTAAAACAAACATAAATATACCTTGCTGGTTAAGTACATTGTATTTGTCATCTTGAGCAGAAGCAAAATATCATAAGTAGACTTTTTAGTGTGAGTTATGTCTAGTAGAATTAAATGCCACTGGGCATCATAGGCACCTGTTGTTAAGCCTAAAATCAAAGAGAAAAGGGATTAATAGAAAAAGAAACAAAAGCAGAGACTACATAAAAACATGTTGGTAAAATAAAATGCCATTGCTAATTGCCAACTCCATATTTTATAACATTTGTGCCATAAATTATGTAACCTTGTCACATATTGGTAATGCACAAAGACATTTTCGTTACTACCCTAATTATTACCAACTGCCCTTTCTTGTTTCTAAAGGCACAGCGACTCTGTAAACGGTGTGGTCAGGCATGGAGAGCTGCCACACTTGAAGGCTGGAAGCTGTATCATGACCCCAATGTGAATGGAGGTATTTCAGTAGCTTTTATTCTGAGATCTTTGAGAACTAGAGCTTTTCTTTTAGAATGATTGAAATAAGGGGTTCTCATTTTAATTTTAAACTAGATTTTTTTTTTTTTTTTTTTTTTTTTGCTGTTTTATAGGAACAGAATTAGAAGCTGTGGAAGGGAATCCATATAGACGCATTTGGAAAATAAGTTGTTGGAGAATGGCGGAAGATGTAAGAAATCAGATGTTCACTGATACTTTTACTCCAGTTTAATTACTTTAACACCTACTGGGGCTGATGGTGTAAGATTAAGTTCCTATTTTTAATGAACTCTCAGTAAAATAGCCGAAAGGCTTAACTACTTATCAGAATTACTCAAACACTAAAAACTAAGAACATCAATATAAGGCAAAAAATATAAAGGAGTTACCAAAAGAATTTAAAGAAAAGACAGTGAGCTGAAACTTAAACTGGCTTCCCTAGGGAGACAATTGAATTGAACTTTTAGAAATCAGTGACATTTGGGTTGTTAGGAATGAAAACGAGGAATTCTGGGTATTATACATAGATTGAAAGACTCAAAGAAAAGTAATCTTACCAGGCTAGAATAAAAGACTCATAAAAGGAAATAGAATTAATTCTGTTATTACACAGCATGTGCATTCCTAAATCACTACAACATGCAAAATTGTGCAAACCATCTTCCAGGACTTATGAGAGAATAGAATTCCGAGAACAATACTCAGGGCCAGTGCCTGAAGAGCCAGCATCTTATATGGGCATCACTTCAAGTCCTGGCTGCTCCACTTCTGATCCAGCTCCCTGCTAATGTGCTTGGGAAAGCAATATAAGATGGCCAAGTCCTTGGGCCCCTGCACCCGTGTGGGAGATTCGGAAGAAGCTCCTGGCTCCTGGCTTTGGCCTGGCTTAGCCCTGGCCATTTCAGCCATTTGGGGAATGAACCAGTGGATGGAAGATCTCTGTCTTTCCCTCTCTCTATTTATAATCCTGCCTTTTAAATAAATGAATAAATCTTTATAAAAAAAAATAAAGTAGGAGAGTGTGAGAGTTACTTATTTATTTGCTTGGAGGGCAGAATGACAGACACTTCTTCTCTCTACTGGTTCACTCCCCAAATGACTGCAATAACTGAGACTAGACCAAGCCAAAGCCAGGAGCCAAGAACTCCATAAGGGTCTCCCATATGGGTGGCAGGGACTTAAGCCAAAATCCGCTGCCTCCCAGATTCATTCGCAGGAAGCTGGATCAGAAGTGAGGGTCACTGGGAATCATAACTAAGTACTCCAATATGGGATGCAGGTATCCCAAATGGTGGCTTAACCCTCTGCACTATAACACTTACCCAAGAATTATTTAAACCTCAGACAATAAGGGGCTGTCTGAGTATAGTATTGATGGAACTGGAAAGGAACGGAGCTAGACTGGGACCAGTAACTGGAAACAAGGCAGAGATGTGCTCCGGTATGTAGTTAAGAGTCTGAAGTCTGGATGATGTGAAAACTGGAGATGCCCAAAAGTTAAAGGAGTGATTTGAAAAATGTGATGAATTCTGCTTAGGAATTGGATACGAACTGATACATGTCTTGTTCTGATGTTTGACCTTATCAAAAGAGTATGAGGTATTTAGAAGCATTCTAGAAGCAAACACCTAAATACAGGTTCCATGTAGAATAAAACTTGATTTTATATATATGATCAGAACACCCATTAGAATTTGATCCATTTTCAGTCTATATTTGAAATATAAATGTTTGGCTTTTGCCTGAAAACTTTAGTATTGATTATTTCATCAAACTAAGAAGTTCTTCCTTATCACTCTACTAGGTCTTTAACTAAAGTTAGAAACTATGAGGTGAATAGCTTCAGACTAGAAGAGAGTCACAGAATTCTAGATGATCTGGAAAACTGGCACACTAAGAGAAACTTGCAAATTTACTTATCTTTGTGTTCTAGGAGCTTTTTAATAGATATGAGAGAGCAATTTATGCAGCTTTAAGTGGGAATCTCAAACAGGTATGAGCCTATTTAATATCCAGTTTGTTCCTATGAAATAAAGACAATTATATGATATATTCTAATAATTGTGTGTAGCAAATCTCATAAGCTGAGCTACTTTCTAAGGGTGGTGGTGACAGAAGGAATCATGAATTAGGACTTGCACTGCTCTAACTGCTATTCTCTCACGCAAGCACGATGTTTCAGTTAATTCAACAAGACTTTAAGAGTTGTGCATTTAATTGCAATACATGTTTCCTGATGACTTATCCAGAAATATAAGGCACAGTGACTTCTTGAAGTGTGTGTGTGTGTGTGTCTGAAAACTCCCACTATCTTCTGCATTTCACAGCTGTTCTGGGGATGCTATAATAATCTATTGAGGCCGGCGCCGCAGCTCAATAGGCTAATCCTCCACCTAGCGGCGCCGGCACACCAGGTTCTAGTCCCAGTCGGGGCGCTGGATCCTTCCCGGTTGCCCCTCTTCCAGGCCAGCTCTCTGCTGTGGCCCGGGAGTGCAGTGGAGGATGGCCCAAGTGCTTGGGCCCTGCACCCCATGGGAGACCAGGATAAGTACCTGGCTCTTGCCTTCAGATCAGCGGATCAGCGCGGTGCGCCAGCTGCAGCGCGCCAGCCGTGGCGGCCATTGGAGGGTGAACCAACGGCAAAAAGGAAGACCTTTCTCTCTGTCTCTCTCTCTCACTATCTACTCTGCCTGTCAATAAAGAACATAAAAGAGAAAGAAAGAAAGAAAGAGAAAAAAATAATCTATTGAAATGCTATGTTTTATCAGCCTAGTGAATTGATGCTATTGTGTGACTCTGGTATGGGAAAAAAACCATAATAGCTCAAATGACTTAGAAGATATACTTTGGGAGGAAATGGGTTATTCAGCATTATTTTTTTTAAAGCACAGCATTTAATATCACTGTAAAGTTGGCATTATGGTCCATATAATGGGTATAATTGCTTTTCCTTTCTTTTTTGATGAATACGTTGATGTGTGTCTATTTGAAATGCAACAAAGCTTCTTCCCGTGTGTGACACCTGGGAAGACACAGTGTGGGCCTACTTCCGGGTGATGGTGGACAGCCTGGTTGAACAGGAGATCCGGACGTCAGTAGTAACTCTGGATGAAACTGAAGAACTCCCTAGAGAATATTTAGAAACAAAGTGAGTGGTGATTTATAATTTGCTTCTTTCAGTGTTAATTTTGGAGCCTTTCTTCGTATTATTAATTTCATTCTCTCTTTTCTATTTTTCTTTCAAAGTTGGACCTTAGAAAAGATTTTTGAAGAACTTCAAGCTACTGATAAAAAGGTAAATGTTAATACCAACATGTTACAGATAGGTGCATAAGGAAAGAGCACCTGTTATGCTGTTGTGCTCAGTAGCTGAAAGGAAAAAATGGGGAATTTTATTCTGCCTTCCTTTCTTTTCCTTGCTACAGCAACAAAGGAGGCATTCCTTGAAAGGAAGAAACTTAATACATAAATGACACATCTTTTCTGTTTCTTTGTGTTAGAATTGGTTTCCTCCAAATACACACATGTAAGCTACATTTAATCCTTTCCTTTTGAAAATTTAAGATAATGAGAAATTAACAAAATTTCTTCCCAGATCTAAAAATAATCTAATGATCTAATGTCTCTTTGAAATACTACTCCTTTAAATATGTTATGACTAAAGTAATCCCATGTATCCTTTTTTTTAAAAGATTTATTTATTTACTTGCATTTCAGAGTTAAACAGAGAGAGAAGGAGAGGCAGAGAGAAAGAGAGGTCTCTATCCACTGGTTCACTCTCCAAATGGCCGCAACAGCTGGAGCTGTGCTGATCCGAAGCCAGAAGCTTCTTCCAGGTCTGCTACGTGGGTGCAGGGCCCAAGGACTTGGGCCATCTTCCACTGCTTTCCCAGGCCATAGCAGAGAACTGGATAGGAAGTGGAGCAGCCGGGTGTTGAACCGGCGCACATATGGGATGCCAGCACTACAGGGGGAGGCTTTACTCACTACGCCACAGTGCTTGACTCCCATATATCCTTGTAACAATAGAATAATCCAAAAATATAAGTAAAACCTTTGTAGCTTCTTCCCATCCCCTTTTGAAGGTCATTCTCATTGCCCTGAGGTGATAAAACTTACTGATATTATATATATATATAATATATATATATTATATATCTTCCTCCATGATCTTGCAAATATATGTCAGTAATATAGATAGAGTTAGGTTTGTTTTGTTTTGTTTTGTTTTTTTCCCAGCGGAAGAAAACAAAGCTAGATCCCTGCTTCATGCCATTTAACTAAAATAAATGCAAAAAAAATACTGGAAGAGAACTTAAGACTATTAGGTAAAAAATAAAATAGATTTGACCTTTCTCCAAAACCTAGTTGCTTTACTTTTTTAAGTCAGCTTGCAAGATTCTTATAAATGGTTCGCCCTGCTCTGTAGCTGACTTCTGTTTTGTTACTCTTCATGCCATGTGCAGAAGAGAGCACCTGAAAAGTACTTTCCAGTAATGCTGCTCATGCTGAAAGAAGCTAATAGTTTATTTTACTTAAGCAGAAACATGGAGTGCAAAAGTAAATGGGAATTAAATTGAAAGAATAAAAGTTTAATCATTCGCAGAGCTTAAATTGTTATATATCATAGTTCTCTTTCAAAGATACTGTTCAAGGGGCTGGTGCTGTGGCGTAGTGGGTTAAGCTGCTGCCTGTAGCACCAGCATTCCACATGGGCACAAGTTTGAGTCCCAGCTGCTCCACTTCTGACCAGCTCCCTGCTAATGTGCCTTGGAAAGAGGGGAAGATGGTCCAGGTGTTTGGGTCCCTGCTCCCTGTGGGAGACCTGGAAGAAGCTCCTGGCTCTTGGCTTCCGCCTGGCCCAGCCCTGGTCATTGTGGCCATTTGGGGAGTAAACCAGCAGGTGGAAGTCTCTCTCTCTGTCTCTCCCTCTCTGTCTATAACTCTATGTTTCAAATAAATAAATCCTTAAATAAGTAAATAAAATAAATCTTAAAAAAAAAGATTTTGTTCAATCCTGGATTTATATGCTTGAGTATATTTTGGAGGCAAGTATCCTTTTCATACTTTATTTTGATCTTCTTAAGGCCTTTCATTTTCAACTTTTTCAACTTTTTCTTTATATATATATATTTCTTTCAAAAGTTTGACGATTTTAGTTTAACCATGACTACATACTATAGCATAACCAGTGGAAGATTTATGGAAAATGTGAACAAATATTTTTCAGAGAGTTCTGGAAGAGAATCAAGAACATTATCACATAGTTCAAAGATTCCTTATTCTGGGAGATATTGATGGTAAGATACAGTTTTATTTTACTTTATCTTTATTCTTCATTTTCTTAGAGTAATTTTTACAAGAAACTTATCAAAGCAATACCTCGACTGACTACATCTTTTAAGCTTTATAAATATCAGCCTATTTGAATGCACCTACAGTGACTTGTTATAAAGTTTTAATTTAACAGTTTACTTTCAGAGAGCGTAGAGTGTATTATGATGGCTGTTTACAATGAGACAGTGAATTAAAGCACTTGCAAGGGTGGAGGTAAATGTTTTGATGATGTTTATCTCTTTCCTTTTGGTTATATTCATCTTGTTGAGTCTTTGCTTTGATGGCCTTTAGGTTTGATGGACGAGTTTAGCAAATGGCTTTCTAAAAACAGAAACAATCTGCCTGGACACCTCCTCCGCTTCATGACCCACCTCATTTTGTTTTTCCGGACTCTGGGACTACAGACCAAAGTAAGTCAAGATGAACGGTTTACCCTTCTGTGTGAGGTCAGCGTCATCTACCTGTCCTCTGGAAAACACACTGCTTTTTGATTGTTCTTTTTCAGAAATGATGATGAGTAGTCAGAAGGCTTCCAAATAGTCTCATGTGGTCCCTGAGTATCTCACTGTGGGTGGCCCTTGTAGGGTTCCAGTTGTGGCTGCAGAATCCTGATGGTTACTTGGTTTTTAATAAATCTATTGACTATCCTCATCAATGTCCAATTTTAAATCAACCAGTGGAGCTAACCAAATCAGACTGAACTCTGTGAGATTTACAGTCTTTGTTTATTTGCTCTGTGTTTCCTTTTTTGTACATGTTTGATAATGTTTTGTTCAAAGTACACATGTAGGAGCTGAGTGATACTCTAGTTGAAATTTGGGCTTTGGAGTTAGAATCCTGAGTTCACAGCCTTAGTTTGCAACTAAGTTGTGCAATTCTGAGTAAACTGAACCTCCGAGTCCTAATTTCTTCCTCTGTAAAATGTGAACATTAATAGTAATGACCCACAGAGAGTTAGGATAAAGTTAAATCGGTAGTACATGACCTTGCTAAACACTGAGCCTCGTGTATCATTGTTGCTTAATGATAAATATTAAAATTATTAGATCTTTTAATTGCAGATTTTTAATGAAATTTTACGGCTGGTTCATATAAGCATTCTGGTTTGTAATTGAATTATGTCTTTTTTCCCCTGTGAAGGAAGAAGTTTCTATTGAAGTTTTAAAGACATATATACAGGTAACTTTGAGACAACAACTTAATTCCTTTTGTACTAGTTTAATAAAAACAAAAATCAGCTGGCGCACCGCGCCAAACCGAAGCCAGGAGCCAGGTGCTTCCTCCTGGTCTCCCATGCGGGTGCAGGGTCCAAGGACTTGGGCCATCCTCCATTGCCTTCCCGGGCCACAGCAGAGAGCTAGACTGGAAGAGGAGCAACCGGGACAGAACTGGCGCCCCAATCGGGACTAGAACCCGGGGTGCCGGCGCCTCAGGCGGAGGATTAGCCAAATGAGCCACGGTGCCGGCCAGAGAGATCTTTTAATTATCATAAATTTTTTTTTTCAATTTAAAATTTTTCTGGGGTAAACATGCAGTGTAGCGATTAGGTCAACATTGACTGGGGAGCCCACATCCTGTATCAGAGTGGCTAGGTTCAAGTCCCCACTCCGTTCTGATTCCAGCTTACTGCTTATGCAGACCTTGGGAGGCAGCAAGTGATATCTTTGTTACTTGAGTCCTTGTCACCCATGTGGGAGACCTAGATTGAGTTCCTGGCTCCTGGCGTTAGCCTGGTCTAGCCAGTGGACCATGAGGAACTGAAATTTAAAGTAACTTAAAAATATATAAATAAATAAGATGATTTTGATCAGTAGCACAAATCCAAGTCTGCATGAATCTCTCCTAAATATATTTGGAATTGTTGTAAAGCACTGCTGATCCTAGAACTTTTTTTATTATTAATCTATTGTGATCTTTTTCTGTTTTTTAGCTGTTAATAAACGAGAAGCATACAAATCTCATAGCATTTTACACTTGTCACTTGCCTCAAGACCTAGCTGTTGCCCAGTATGCATTATTTTTGGAAGGTGTTACAGAATTTGAACAGCGACACCATTGCCTGGAGCTGGCTAAAGAAGCAGGTAAAGCGATTGAGAAATTCTTTTATCAGTCATTGGACGCAGATCTACATTTTCACTACAGTAACATTTGTCCTTTGAGTTGTAAACCTTATTTCTTTTGATGCAGGGTAGAAGGGGGAAGGAATACAATTTTCAACAAAGGTCTCTTAGGAATGAAGAATTTATCCTGTAACACATGTACATATCTTTTAATTTTGACATCTTCTGTCATAATGTCTTCCTGTGTTACATATTTTTAAAGAATTTCTATCAGTTCAGAGAATATTGGTATCCGTGATTAATTAATTTTTTTTGTCTCTTCAATAAATTCCTCAGATTTGGATGTTGCAGCAATAACAAAAACTGTTGTAGAGAATATTCGAAAGAAAGATGACGGTGAGTTCAGTCATCATGACCTGGCCCCAGCCCTGGATACTGGCACCACTGAGGTAATTTGATTGTGTAACTCCTTATCATCCTTTGTGTGGGTCTGAGGTGAACTTTTGCCTTAAAATACACTCATCTCCTTATTTTTAAAGAATGTATGTCAGCCCAGGTCTTCTAAATTATAAAAATTGGCAGTAAATGTTAAGATCTTACGTAAGAGATTACTTATGGTAGTATCATGTTAAAGGAAGCTTCATTAATAGAAAAAAAGACATGAATACTGGCTTTTTGTTCAGCAGGTTATTTGATTAATCACTAATGCTTATGAAGCTTATATTTTCAGAAACAAATAGTTAAATCTAAGAAAGAAAGAAATTTTAGAGTAACACTTAATCACAAGACTAAATTGGAGCTGTGTACAGAATGTAATTCTAGGCCGGCGCCGCGGCTCACTAGGCTAATCCTCCGCCTAGCGGCGCCGGCATACCGGGTTCTAGTCCCGGTCGGGGCGCCGGATTCTGTCCCAGTTGCCCCTCTTCCTGTCCAGCTCTCTGCTGTGGCCAGGGAGTGCAGTGGAGGATGGCCCAGGTGCTTGGGCCCTGCACCCCATGGGAGACCAGGAAAAGCACCTGGCTCCTGGCTCCTGCCATCGGATCAGCGCGGTGCGCTGGCCGCGGCGGCCATTGGAGGGTAAACCAACGGCAAAGGAAGACCTTTCTCTCTGTCTCTCTCTCTCACTGTCCACTCTGCCTGTCAAAAAAAAAAAAAAAAAAGAATGTAATTCCAGATTCATAATCCAGTAAGCTTTTCCTATAATTTGAAAACTACTAAATATGAAAATAAACTAAGGAAAGCTCCATTCTTTTGTGATTTTGTATAATTTAGTAGAAAGTGATACTAGAAGTGCAGATGTTAGTTAACTCTACTAGTTTGCAGAACATTTTAAAAAAAGACAAAGCCCATGATTTTCTTTTCCTTTAAATGCATAGGAGGACCGCTTAAAGATTGATGTAATTGACTGGTTGGTGTTTGACCCAGCACAGAGAGCAGAAGCTCTAAAACAAGGCAATGCAATAATGAGGAAATTTTTGGGTATGCTGTATTTCTATATTCTTTCTTAATGTTTTTGTTCAAATCCATATACTCTTGATTTTTTAGTTTTTTGTTTGTTTGTTTGTTTATCTTTGATTCTTCCAGTAGAAGGGGGAGTGGAGAAAACCAGGTGTTATGAAATACAACATATTTAACAGTGAATTTCCATTATCCTAATCAATTTTGCATATAACCTCAAGGCTATCAGACTTTAAAGATTATGATTGCTTTCCATACAGTAGAAAAGGATGTGAAAGTAACTGCGTTTAATATATCCTTTGTGTTACTATCACATTGAAATACTGGGGGAAAAGAAAGATCATTGATACCTTTAAGAGAAGTACTTTGGGACTTGAAGTGGTTGCACAGCTCACAGCAAAAGTTGTAAACCAGTAATTTGACTCCTTTAGAAACTATTAAACAGAAGTCCGTATGTGTTTACTGAAAATTGTGTATCATTTTCATAGCATCAAAAAAGCACGAAGCTGCAAAAGAAGTATTTGTGAAAATTCCTCAGGATTCCATAGCAGAAATCTATAATCAATGGGAGGAACAAGGAATGGACAGTCCACTTCCTGCTGAAGATGATAATGCTATCAGGGAACATTTGTGTATTAGAGCTTATTTGGTAAGATGGTAAAGAAAACCACAGACGTGCCTGTCTTCGGGATGATTTTTCTGATTCACTCCTAGAGTTGGAAGTTTTTTCCAGAAGTGGTGATTGATTCATCTTCTCTCCCTGTGGCTGTGGTCGTGATGAAATGGTGACCTTATCTTCAGTAGCATGATTCTCTAATCAGTGCACACCGACCAAGATCATCTGACACTGTAAATAGTGTGTGTGATGTCAGGAACTTAACATTTTCTTAAGAATCTATGAATGCGTGTCTCAACTTTAATATTTCTGCTTTGGGTAATAACTGAGAAAAGCAAGATATTCTAGATTTATTATGACAAATAATAGCATACCCATTCAAATAAATGGTTACAGTGGGCATGGTAGAATGGCTAACTTTGTGGACAGCATTCATCCTTGTCTTCCTGGCTAATAAAGAAGTTAGAAAGTAAACATGCACACATCACAGAGTGATAATGTCAAGATATGTGTTATGATCAAGGTGCTAAAATAGGAGGTGCCAGAAAATACAGTATGTAATTTGAGGTTTTTGTGACCTACCAAAACATTTACAGTGATTTTGTGTGTGTGTAAAAAAAAATTGAAATTTTATTTCTTGATACTATAAAATTATTTTTAAGAACCAAAACTTAAAAGCTTTATTGAATAGTAAAACTGAGAACTTTATGGTTTTCTCTCTCTCTCTCTTTTTTTTTTTTTTTCTTTTAGGAGGCCCACGAAACTTTTAATGAGTGGTTCAAGCATATGAATTCAGCGCCTCAGAAACCTACTTTGATACCGCAATCAACTTTTACTGAGAAAGTGGCTCATGAACACAAAGAAAAGAAATATGAAGTAAGTTGAGTGAATCTACAGTGTACCTATTGCATCTTTTTGTTTTTTAAAAAATTATTTGTGGGAGCCAGTGCTGTGGCATAGTGGGCTAAGCCTCTGGCCTGAAGCTCCGGCATCCCCTATCAGCACCATTTCTAGTCCCGGCTGCTCCTTTTCTGATCCAGCTCTCTGCTATGGCCTGGGAAAGCAGTAGAACATGGCCCAAGTCCTTGGGCCCCTGCACCCGCGTGGGAGACCTGGAGGAAGCTTCTGGCTCCTAGCTTCGGATCTGCCTAGCTCCAGCCATTTCAGCTATTTGGGGAGTGAACCAGCGATGGAAGACCTCTCTCTGTCAATAACTCTCTCTCTCAAATAAATAAACAAAAAATCTTTAAAAAAACCTTTTTTGTGTGTATTTGAGAGGCGGAGAGAGATCCCAATGGGGAAGAGAGATAGTTCTCATCTGCTGGTTGACTCCTCCAAATGCCCACGTTGACCAGTCAGGGCTGGGCCAAGGCCAAAGCTGAAAGACAGGGTCTCAATCCAAGTCTCTCAGAAGGATGGCAGGACTTTACCACTTACGACAACATTCTGCCTCACAATGTCTATTTTAGCAGGAAACTGGAGTCAGGAATGGAATCCAAATAGTCTGATATGCAACACAGGTGTTTTAACCAGAATCCAACTGCTGGACCTAATGCATACCTTCCTATTGTATCTTATTACTGGGGCCGGCACTGTGATATGGCAGGTCATGCCGCTGTGCCAGCATCCCATATAGGTGCCGGTTCTAGTCCCGGCTGCTCCTCTTCCAATCCAGCTCTCTGCTATGGCCTGGGAAACTAGTAGAAGATGGCCCAAGTCCTTGGGCCCCTGCACCCATGTAGGAGACCTGGGGAAGGCTCCTGGCTCCTGGCTTCAGATTGGCTCAGCTCTGGCTGTTGCAGCCATTTGGAGAGTGAATACATCGGATTTCAGACCCTCTATCTCTGTTGCTCTGCCTCTGCTTCCCTGTAACTCTGACTTTCAAAATAAATAAATAAATCTTTAAAAAAAGTTTATTACTGGGGCCAGAATTGTGATACAGTGGATTAAGCCACAACCTGTGATGCCAGCATCCCATATTGACACTGACTTGTGTCCTAGATCCTCCACTTCCCATCCAGATCCCTGCCAATAGCCTGGGAAAAGGAGTGGAAGATGGTCCAACTGCTTGGGGCCCTGACTCCTCTGTGGGAGACCTGGAAGAAGCTCTTGGCTTTGACCTGGCCCATCCCCTGCCATTGCTGCCATTTGGGGAGTAAACCAGTGATGGAAGATCTCTCTCTAGCTCCAGATCTCTCTGTGCAATTCTGCCTTTGAAATAAATTAAGTGTGTTTTAAAAATGTGTATTACTACTGTAAAGAGGTCAGTTCTTCAGCAACTATGTTTCTGTTAACAGGTAACCTTCTATTGATGTTCCACTTTGAAAACAGCCATCTGTTTATTTTTCTGTAGGTAATTAATCAATCTTGAAAATACTTTCAGACAGCATTAGCAATCATTTACAAAGTTAACATTTTAGTGTTTTATTTAACTGCAGTCTGTTGATACTTATTTTTATGTTTGGCTGACTGAAATGACAACTTGACTGATGTTCCATATGTGTATTCCTGTCTTTAATTTACAAATGCATTATTAATTAGATTCTGCCCATTATGTGTCTGCCTTATGTTTGTTTTGCAGATGGATTATAATATCTGGAAAGGACATTTGGATGCCCTAACAGCTGATGTGAAAGAGAAGATGTATAACGTCTTGTTATTTGTTGATGGAGGGTGGATGGTAGATGTCAGGGAGGTAAGCTTTGTGCATTGTTCATCACAAAAACACAGCAGAACCGCTGAGTCTTCTTTTTCAGATGTTCTGTCTCTGCATAGGATCAGCTGCAGATTTTATGTAGCCTTTGTAGTTACGATGATAGGAATATTTGATTCTTGGATAAAATGTTACTTCACATCTAATGTGTTCACACAGGATACTAAATCTAAATTTTTTAAAATTCTAGACCTAAAATTTTAATTAAACACGTATTTGACTGTATTTAGACATAAGAAGGTAAGTTGTGTGTGTGTGTGTGGAGAGAGAGAGAAACAGTGGCTCTCTCTGCCAAGCTGTCCATTTAAGTAACCTAGGGAGCATTAAAAAAGAAAAGAAACAAGGCTTCTTTAAAAGATTCTGGCTTAATCTGCCTGAGGTAGGGCTGGGATTCGTTTTAATCACTTGAAGTGTTTTAAGTGTAGCCTGCATTGAGAACCAGTTACAAAGGTATTAAATACCATCAGGAAAGCACAAATCAGGTGTTTTCTTAGATCAGGAAAAGAGAAGATTCCTTCTACCTAGAGGGGGTTTGGACAGGATACGTGAGAGATGTAGCATTTGGTAGAATTTGGATGGGCTGAGTTGGGCGAGGAAGGATCCTGCAGGTAATAATCACAGGAGGCCTGAGCACAAGTAGCTCCGCTTGCCTCTGCAGACAGACATCCAGGGAAACCTGGAAACGTGGGGCTCTTGGGTGTTTGGCGTGTTAGTTTGTACTGGGACCATCCACTGCTGCCTTCCCAAGAGCAGTAGCAGGGAGCGGATGGGAAGCAGAACAGCCGGGCCCCCAGCAGATGCTCTGAGAGGGGACATCAGCATCACAGGCAGCAGCTTTACTCACTGTGCCACCGTGTATGCCCCAGTAACCTACAGTCTTCCAACTTTGTTGAATATGAGTATTAAACCAAGTAAACATCATTAAAATACGAGGGGTCTTCAAGAAGTTCCCTGAACTTATTTACTTCCATTTGAAGTGCCCTTGCATCCTTATCATTTGTTCAAAGAAATATTTTCTGGATTAGTTTTGAAGAAATGATTGACACTGAATATTGATTTCTTTAAAAAGATTTATTTATTTGAAAGACATCCTGTTCAGCTGCTTTCCCAAGTGCATTAGCAAGGAACTGGATTGGAAGCAGAGCAGCCAGGACACAAACCAGGACTCTGTATTAGGATGCAGCTGTTGTAACCCACTGTGTCATAATGCCACTCTCTCTTCTTTTAAAAAGAAAAAAAAATATTTAAGAGGCAGAGAGAAACAGCAGAAACTGTCTATCTACTGAATCACTCCTCAGATTCCCACAGTGACTTGGGCTGGGCTGGGCTAAAGCTAGTGGCTGGGATCTCAATGAATCCAGGTCTCCTACATGGGTGGCAGGGACCCAACTGCTTGAGCCGTCACTGCTGCCTTCCAGCATCTACATTATCAGGAAACTGGAGTCAGGAACTGACCCCAGGCATTCCGATGTGAGACACAGGTGTCTCAGCTGCTAGGGCAAACACCTGGCTCCACCATAGTTCTGTTCTTGACATACAAGCCCACACAGGGTTTTCTTTTACCATCGCCCATCTCGATTCCTGCCGTTCTCCCCACACGGTGTTCCAGCATTCTGAACCTCTTGCTGTTCTCTCTCTGCTTAGCAGGCTCGATCTGTAAGTGCGTGGGTGGCTCTCTTCTTTCAGCAGTCTAGTCAAATGTGGGAGGCCAACCACCCTGTCTTGTATATATATAAACACACCTGTCACTTGCTGTCTTCTTGTCCTGCAGTCACATTCTTCATTGCACTTAGTACTTTCTGTATTTCCAGCCTTGTTAGAATGCCACCCTCAAGAAGGAAGCGATCTTGTTTTCTTCATTTCTGTGATCCTGGCACTTGAAATAATGCCAAGCACAAAGAGGTTTTCAGTAAGGCTTTAGAGGAACGGTTCCTCATTGCTGGAATGAACACATTGTCTTCAGATTCGGGATTCTGGTAGTGTCAGCATAGGTCAACTGCTGTGACTGCATATGGCTTAATGAGTGTTTCTCACGCAGAAGGCCTTATATATTCCTGCTGGGTAGAATTTTATGTATGTGCAGGCCATTTCAGAGCTTTTGTTCATTCAAATGAGAAAAAAATCTGAGGTTCCATCAGAGAAGTTCATTCCCTATTTCTTTTGGCAGGCATGATTCTGGGTGGTTGATAGCAGCCAGACTGCTGGAATGAGAATCATTGTGATTAGCCTGCAGTGCATCCTGATACTGTAATAACAACAGCATTAGGAGGAGCAAGTGACACAATCTAGCCTGTGAGATGAGATCATTAACAGGCAATAAGGAGTCTCAGGGCCAAGGGCACTTAGTGTGTTCTCCCACTCCTTAGATCAGTCTGTGGTTACATCTCTGTCTAGCAAAATGGCCATTATTTTTGGTTCTGATTTTTGCTGTAGTGTTATCTAGTCTCTTATCCCTTTTATGCATGTTTTTATTCTACACAAGCAAGTTTATTAGAAACACAAGTTCAGAAGCATTTTATTTTCATGATTACACTGTGTTCTCTGTGGTATACTTTATTCATCTTCAGGCTTTTTTGCTATAAAATCCTGTTCTCTACATCCCATGATTGAAGCTCTGCCTTATAAAACCCCGTTTAATCTTTACTCTTCTCTGGACATAATTTTGTCTGCAATGCCATGACCTGACAGGCAGAGTTAGACAGTAAGAGAGAGAGAGACAGAGAGAAAAGTCTTCCTTCCATTGGTTCACCTCCCAAATGGCCGCTAAGGTCGGTGTGCTGCGCCGATCCGAAGCCAGGAGCCAGGTGCTTCTCCTGGTCTCCCATGCGGGTGCAGGGCCCAAGCACTTGGGCCATCCTCCACTTCCTTACCGGGCCACAGCAGAGAGCTGGACTGGAAGAGGAGCAACCAGGACAGAACTGGCTCCCCAACTGGGACTAGAACCCGGAGTGTCGGCGCGATTAGCCTAATGAGCCACGGCGCCGGCCCTCTTTATTTTTTAAGATTTATTTATTTATTTATTTGAAAAGCAGAGCTACAGAGAGGCAGAGAGAGAAGGAGAGGTCTTCCATCTGCTGGTTCACTCTCCAAATGGCCACAACGGCCAGAGCTGAGCTGATCCGAAGCCAGGATCCAGGAGCTTCTTCCGGGTCTCCCACGTGGGTGCAGGGGCCCAAGGACTTGGGCCATCTTCTACTGCTTTCCCAGGCCATAGCAGAGAGCTGGACAGGAAGTGGAGCAGCCAGGTCTCGACCAGCACCCATATGGGATGCCGGCACTGCAGGCGGTGGCCTTACCCAATACACCATAGTGCCAGCTCCTGTTTTATTCTTAACAGGCATGAAAAGCTTTAGAAAAATGTCTTAGCTTCTGCCTGTTTTGGCTTAGATTCAGGAAAGTTGTCCCTCAGTGTCCTTTGGGGACTGGATCCAGGACCCCCTGCAGATACCTAAGTCCACAGATGCTCATATCCCTTATTCCATAAAACAGTACAGTATTTGCATCTAACCCCAATACGTCTTCCTGTAAATTTTATCTCTATATTATAAACCTAATAGAAGTGCTCTGTAAGTAATTGTCACATGGGGATACGACAAGGAGAGAAATGTGTAGTCTCCAGTTGGCTAAATCCACAGCTTTGGAACCCATGGACATGGAGGGGGCTGGCTTAGACTTGCTGCTTTATCGGGCTGCTTTGGCTTGTGGTTGTTGAAGTGCCTGTTGGTGTCCGTGTAGGATGCTGAGGAAGACCATGAAAGAACGCACCAGATGGCTTTGCTGAGAAAGCTCTGCCTGCCCATGCTGTGCTTTCTGCTGCACACCATCCTGCACAGCACCGGCCAGCACCAGGAGTGCCTGCAGCTAGCAGATATGGTGTCCTCCGAGCGCCACAAACTGTATCTGGTAAGTGCTGGAGCGCGTGCAGCCTGCAACTGGGATTCCACTCTCCTCCGCTTTGTGAAGGTGTGTTTGCGTTTTTCAGTTGCTCTTGGGTTTTCTGAAGGTAGTGGTCCAGTTTTAATATGTGTGCTTTCTTCCTCTGAAACATGTATATGCATTCAGCAGAAGCTAGAAGTTCTTTGATTTTTTAAAGTTTTTATTTCTTTATTTGAAAGGCAAAAGGACAGAGAGAGGGAAAGAGATATCTTCCATCTGCTGGTTCACTCCCCAAGTATCTGCAGTAACCAGGGCTGGGCCAGGATTCTGGAATTCCATCTGGGTCTCCCATGTGGGTGGCAGGGACCCAAGAACTTATTGGTCCGTCATCTGTTTCCTCCCAGGCACATTAGCAGGAGGAAGCCTGATTGAAAGCAGAGGAGCCAGGACTCAGACCGACACTCCCAGATGGAATCCTGGTGTCCTAAGCTGTGGCTTACCCACTGCACCGGAACACCCACCTAGACGTTATAGACCAAGAAAAATAGTCCCTCAGCTTCTCTGACAAGGCTGTGGTCACAAAATCCTTCAAAAGGAACTTCTTGTATGAAGCTAGTAATTGATTAGGTAACTACAAGTTCATATTTTCATCATTACTTTTTTCTCTTTTAAAATCAGGTATTTTCTAAGGAAGAACTAAGGAAATTGCTGCAGAAGTTAAGGGAATCCTCGCTGATGCTTCTTGACCAGGGACTTGATCCTCTAGGATATGAAATTCAGTCGTAATTCGTCCAAGCTTTGTATGCCTACTAATTTCCAGGGTGAATGGGGAGGTTTTTTTATATATATATTAAAATATACATATTTGTAATTACGGGATTTTCTTTTGCATCATTTTGGGAAAAGATGTAAAATTTAGACATTTGAATTTTGTATTTTTCAGAATATTATGGTAACACTTTGAAAATTTAATGTATTATATCAGTATTTCCCTAATTGTGTTTTTTAATAAAAGCATATAAAAATTAAAATATTCTGATCTTACAAATTCAAGAATTGTCTATTATGTAATAGGGAACTTAAATTTCTTGTGGTTTTTTTGCTATAATTTTAAGTACACTGGTATCTTAAAATTATAAAGAAAATGGAAAGTAGATTCATTTTCAAGTTGGGTACATAATTTATCGTAAAATTTAATATAAAATTAATCATAACATTTTTAATTTTTTTTAAAGACTTATTTATTTATTTGAAAGTTAGAGTTACACAGAGAGAGGAGAGGCAGAGAGAGAGGTCTTCCATCCAATGATTCACTCCCCAGACGGCCGCAACAGCCGGAGCTGCACTGATCCGAAGCCAGGAGCCAGGAGCTTCTTCCGGGTCTCTCACGTGGGTGCAGAGGCCCAAGGACCTGGGCCATCTTGTACTGCTTTCCCAGGCCATAGCAGAGAGCTGGATTGGAAGAGGAGCAGCTGGGACTAGAACCAGCGCCCATATGGGATGCTGGTCTTCAGGCCAGGGCGTTAACCTGCTGCGCCACAGCGCCGGCCCAACATTTTTAATTTTTAAATATGGAAATTAAGATGAATGTAGCAAGAGTGTTTTCAAAATAATACTATGCTTTTATTTTGAAGATATATCTACTTATTCAGCAAATGTATTGAGATCGGTTGGAGCATGTAAGTCTTGGTACACAGTAGGCACTGAACACAGTGGGAAATACAAAATGAATAAGATCTATTCTAGCCCTCCAGTGGGGATATATATGTGTGCCATGTGATATACTGTATAAAAATAAATGTAAGATATGCTATTCAGATCTGAGCTGGAAGAAACTATCTCCAGCCAACAGATCTCTGAGCAACAGCACTGGGGCTGAGATTTGAGTAAGGTGCTGAATTTTCCAAGATAAAAAAATAAGACAGAAGGAGAGTGAGCTCCTATAGATGAGGAGTCAGTATGAGAAAAGCCCAGAAACAGTAAATGTTGGGCATGTTTCTGAACCAGCAAATATGCTGAATTGGCTAGCATGTGGAGCTTATGAACGGGAGGTAACTAAAAGAGAGAATGTGGTTGTCATAGAAAATATGATCTTACTGAATAAGATCTTTAAAAACTTAAAAAAAAAAAAGAGAGAGAGAGAAGAGAAAAAGAAAAAGATGCCCTGGAATCTTAACTCCCAGAGCTGGCTTCTGATCTGAGTCACCTCGGCGACGTCTGGCTCGGGCAGCCTGGGCTGGGATCACAGAATCTGTTTAAATACAGCATACGCATGCTGCAGGTGATTCTAATCAGCTAAGCTTAGGGCAGTCTGCCTTAAATCATGGATGGACGCCGCTGTTCTTTATGTACCCAACGCAGACAGTAGTAGTTGACCACAGCAGTGTCCCCAGATATCAGTTGGAAAGGGGTATGGAGGCAGTGTGGACTCTGCCTCAGATTTTATTGATGTTAGCTAAAGTGATTGAGAGATAGAAATTTTTTTTTTAAGATTTATTTATTTGAAAGTCGGGAGTTTCAGAGAGGCAGAGACAGAGAAAAAGAGGTCTTCCATCCACCAGCTCACTCCTTAGATGGCCACTATGGCCGGAGCTGTGCTGATCGGAAGCCAGGAGCCAGGAGCTTCTTCTAGGTCTCCCACCCAGGTGCTGGGGCCCAAGGACTTGAGCCATCTTCTGCTGCTTTCCCAGGCCACAGAAGACAACTGGATCGAAAGTGGAGCAGCCGGGACTTGCACTAGTACCCATATGCCGGTACTGCAGGCAGCGGCTTTACCTACCACACCACAGCACTGGTGCCAAGATGGAATATTTTACTTAACAAAACGTCTCTAATTCTTGCATTTTACTATGCCTTCATTGTAAAAAATTTAAAAAAATTAAAAAGAGGTGGAGTAGCATAAACTGATATAAAAATGTGAATCTAACGAAACACTGGATTGGGGCCGGCGCTGTGATGTAGTGGGCGGTGAGGCCGCCACCTGCAGTGCCAGCATCCCATATTGGCGCCAGTTCGAGACTTGGCCATTCCACTTCCCATCCAGCTCTCTGCTGTGGCCTGGGAAAGCAGTAGAAAATGTTCCAAGTCGTTGGGCCCCTGTACCCACATGGGAGACCCGAAAGAAGCTCCTGGCTCCAGATTAGCACAGCTCCAGCTGTTGCAGCCATTTGGGTAGTGAATCAGCAGATGGAAGACCTCTCTCTCTCTCTGCCTTTCAAATAAATAAACATTCTTTGGAAAAATGTTCTATAACAGCTAAAAACTGGAAATGATCTAATATACATCAATAGGAGAATGGCTAAACAAATTACAGTATGTTCATACATAAGAATATTACTGAGCTATATAAAAAGGAAAGAACTGATACTGCGTGTTCCATTTATATGAAGTTCTAGAACAGTCAAAAACTGTTTAAAAATAAAAAAAATACCCAGTATCCTTTTTGGAGCAGAGGAGGGTTTTCCAGGAATGTACACAGGGAAATCTGTGGTAAACAGAAGAGTGTGGGTACAACTGTTTGTCAGAGGTTGTAGTTAGGATTTACACATATGAATGAAGGTAAATTTACCTTTGAAAAATCAAATGGAGGAGTTTGGAGTGGGTTGAGATATGAAAGAAACATGAATGGCACTGTTGAGACCAGACAAGGGGAATAGGTAGGCTCCCTCTACTATTTTAACTTTGTGTAAGTTTGGAGGACTGTGGGCTGCGGGCCAGAGAGATCTAGATTTGAATTTTCCTTTCATCCCATTTCATATGCACAGTACCATCCCTGAACATCCTTTTTGACATCCTTAAGTGAGAATAATCATCACATTTCAGGACTGTGGTTGGAATGAGGGCTCCTGCACTGTAGTGGAGGTAGAGAAAGCCACTTAACCAAACCCAGTTGCCTAGAGAGGTGCAGGATTTAAAACACTGGAGAACTGGAGGCAATCTCAAAGCTGGGGTAGTCCCAGGAAGGTCTGGAATGGCAGGATTAATAGACATAACCTAGTAGGCTGCTAGAATGCATTGTAAATATTTTTTTTAATTTTCATTTTATTTGAAAGAAGGATCTTCCATCTGCTGGTTCACTCCCCCAGATGACTGCAACAACCAGGGCTGGTCCAGGTTAAAGCCAGGAACCTGGAACTCCATCTGGGTCTCCCATGTGGGTGGCAAGGGCCCAAGCACTTGAGCCATCATCTGATGCCTCCTAGGGTGCACAGTAGCAGGAATTAGCAGGAAGCTGGAATTGACAGGAGAGCCAGAACTTGAACCCAGGCACCCTGATACGGGACACAGGTGTCCCAGGTGGTATCTCCTGGATCCTGGCCTCGGCCTGGCCCAACCCTAGCTGTTGTGGTCATTTGGGGAGTGGACCAGCAGATGGAATTCTCTCTCTCTCTTTCTCTGTCTCCCCTCTCTCTCCTCCTCCTCTGTAATTCTGACTTTCAAATAAAATAAATATTTTAAAAAATTTTGCAATGGAGTTAACATCTTTATAACCCATCATAAGTTGAAAATACACTTACTACACCTAACCTACCAAACATCACAGCTGAGAAACACAGCATACAATACAGTATGATTATTCATACAGCCAGCTGGGAGCTGTGCCGGCTGCCACCTGCCACCATCAAGAGAGTGGCCTACTGAACATCACTAACCAAGAAAAAGATCCAAATTCAAAATTCACAGTTTAGTTTCTTCTGAATGTGTATTGCTTTCACCATTGTAAAGTAAAAAATTTTTTAAAAATTGTAAGGGATCATCTATATTTTTCAAATATTAGAAATACAGGAAAGTAAGGATTTAATTTATCATCCATGCTATGAGCGTCTAAATAATGACTAGGAGAGAATGAATTGAGAAGGTCAAATGAAGACAGAGTTCCTAGGCTGTTAACTGGGGAAACATTGGAGGTAAGCATTGTAAATCCTAAAGTCAGCCGGACTGCCATTGATCCAAACTGGGAGGGAGGGTGGCAATATAAAGCTACAATGGACAAGGGATCTAGGGCAGTGAGAACTGGGAAAGCTTGATGACATCATAGGTTTGGTGGCATCATGATAAGAGCACATGCAAGAGAGAGATCAGGGAGACTATAAGGAGAGCTAGCATTTACATTCCCTAACTATTCATTCTCAATTTTTAGTTTAGGAATCATATCCTTGGGGCTGACACTGTGGCTTAGCGGGTTAAACCACCACCTGCAATGGTGGTATCCCTTATGGGTTCCAGTTCAAATCCCGGCTGTTCCACTTCTGCTCCAGCTCCCTGCTAATGCACCTGGGAAAGAAGTGGAAGATGGCCCAAGTGCTTGGGCCCCTGCACCCATACAGGACACCTGGATAAAGCTCCTGGCTTCAGCCTGGACCAGTCCTGACTGTTGAGGCCATTTGGGGAGTAAACTAGCAGATAGAAGCTCACTCGCTCGCTGTCTCCCTCTCTCTCTAACTCTGCTTTTCAAGTAAAAAAATCATATCCTTAAGGGCAGTCATTTGGCCTGGTCACTAAGACACACATGTTCCGTGTCAGATGGAGTTCCTGGGTTCAATATCCTGCTCCTGCTCCCCTCATGTAGACCCTGGGAGGCCTGAGGATGGCTCACGGTGACTGGGTTCCTGCCAACCACATGTGAGACCTGTCTTGAGCTCCAGCTCCTGGCCTCTGCCCCAGGCCCAACCCTGGCCATTGCATGCATGGGACACTCTCCTTCTCGAGTAAATTAACTGGAAATGTTGAGAAAGGAATCATTTCCCTGGAGAAGGATTTGACCTCCCCTTCTGAAGTTTAAGTCGGGTTCTTTTATTATACAATCATAGGACCATGTTCTGTCATCTCAGAACACTCATTTATCAGGGCCAGTCTCCCTCCAAGTTCTATAGGAGAAGGTATGGTCTGTGTTTACTTGCCACTGTCTCCCAAGTGTCAAGTACAGTGCCAGGCACATAGCAGGTGCTCAGTAAATATCTGAATAATTCTTACACCAGAGAGAACATTAAGACTGTCATACTACTTAGGAATTAAGGACGATGAAAATATTACATTGCCTTTTGTATATAAAAATTTATTTAATTGGAGGGGGGCAGAGAGAGAGAAATCTTCCACCTGCTGATTTACTCCCCAGGTGGCCACATCAGCTAGGGCTGGGCCAGGCCAAAGCCAGGAGCCAGGAGCTTTTTCTGGGTCTCACACATGGGCAGCAAGGTCTCTCTGCACTTGGGTCATCTTCCACTGCTTTCCCAGACCATTAGCAGGGAGCTGGATTGGAAGTGGAGCAGCCAGGACACAAACAGGTGCATATGTGGGATGCAGGTGTTGCAAGTAGCAGCTTAACCTGCTAAGCCACAACGCCTGTCCCTTCATCACATTTTTAAAAGATTTATTTTATTTACTTGAAAGGCAGTTAGAGGGAGAGAAAGAAGCAGAAAGACACAGAAAGAGATTCCATCTATCCACTGATTCACTCCCCAGATGGCTGCAAGGTTGGGGCTGAGGCAGGCAGAAGCCGTGAGCCTGGAACTCCATCCAGGTCTCCCACATGGGTGCAGGGGCCCAGGACTTGGGCCATCTTTGGCTGCTTTCCCAGGTGCATTATCAGGAGGCTGGATGGGAAATGGAGCAGCTGGGACTGGAATCAGAGCGGCTTAACCCGCTGCATCACAACTGGCCCCTTCATTGCGTTGTTGAAGATAAGTCATATTTGGCTTTGGGGACAGTAAAGAACGTCATTCTCATACATGCACCAGTGTGAATATCAATTTGCAGCAGCTTTCTGAAGGCTGATTAGGTGGGACCATATACCCAAAGTTTGAAGCCGCTTTCAGCTCTAGAGAGTTGGACTGGCTGGCTGATGCTGGTAAGGTGCATTGTTAAGCCTCTTACGAGGGAAAATAATATCGTGGTAATACAGGAAAATGTTCACGGAAGTAATTGAGGTGAAAAAGACGTGGCGACTGGAATAATCTATGGAAGTAAAAATTTGAAGCAAACATGCCAAAATACTGCTAAGATCTCCATGATGGGTGTATGAAGTCTCCCTACTCCTTTGTCTGGATTTTTTAAATGTGTAAAAGTATGTTTTCCAGCCGGCGCCGTGGCTCAATAGGCTAATCCTCCACCTTGCGGCGCCGGCATACCGGGTTCTAGTCCCGGTCGGGGCGCCGCATTCTGTCCCGGTTGCCCCTCTTCCAGGCCAGCCCTCTGCTGTGGCCAGGGAGTGCAGTGGAGGATGGCCCAGGTGCTTGGGCCCTGCACCCCATGGGAGACCAGGAAAAGCACCTGGCTCCTGGCTCCTGCCATCGGATCAGCGCGGTGCGCCGGCTGCAGCGGCGGCCATTGGAGGGTGAACCAACGGCAAAGGAAGACCTTTCTCTCTCTGTCTCTCTCTCTCACTGTCCACTCTGCCTGTCAAAAATTAAAAAAAAAAAAAAAAAAAGTATGTTTTCCGTAAGTCATGCCTGTCCCTATAGCGACTGAACTTGCTCAACCTAACGCTGATTAGCTGCCCCGCTCACGCCAGCAAATCGGGTCAACTGACACACGGGAAATCATCAGACAAAAAGGAAGGGGCCCAAGCCTGGCGCACTCAGCCTGAATTAGGCAACCAACGGGTAAAGGACCAACATGGTAGGAACTGAGGACGCGCTGCCCCGGGCCCAGAGCCATACGCGCCTGCGCAGGGGTAGGGCCCGCCCTGTCCACGGCTCCGGGGCGGAAGCGCGAGCGCCCTGAGTCACGTGGTCACGCGCGGAGAGGGGCGGGGCGCGAGACGTGCTGCCGCGTCCTCGGCGGGTCTGAGGGCGGTGGCGGAGCATGAGTTTGCCGCCGAGGCTGGTGCTCGCTGGAGATCCGAGCGGTGCATGCTTCTTCCCGGTCGCACTGTGAGGCAGCGGCGGTGGAGGGGAAGAGCAACCGGAGGCAGGCCGGCGCCCCGTCTCGGAGGCTGGACAGCTCCGGGTTCGCGGGGGACGCCGCTCCTCCGCCGGCGGGGATCATGGCATCGCTGGCGGACAGAGTGCGGGACCACGGGCGAATCGCCGCCGGGCTTCTGTTCAACCTGCTAGTGTCCATCTGCATCGTGTTCCTCAACAAATGGATCTACGTGCACCACGGCTTCCCGAACATGAGCCTGACCCTGGTGCACTTCGTGGTCACCTGGCTGGGCTTGTACATCTGCCAGAAGCTGGACATCTTCGCCCCCAAAAGTCTGCCGCCCTCCAAGCTCCTCCTCCTGGCCCTCAGCTTCTGCGGCTTTGTGGTCTTCACCAACCTCTCGCTGCAGACCAACACCATCGGCACCTATCAGCTGGCCAAGGCCATGACCACGCCGGTCATCATAGCCATCCAGACCCTCTGGTACCAGAAGAGCTTCTCCACCAGGATCCAGCTCACGCTGGTGAGTCGCGCCGCTTCCCGAGGACAGCCTTCCGCCCCGGGAGATTTGAACACGCCGTTCAGCCTTAGGCCGCTCTCCCGAGCTCTTGAAACGCACACACGGCCCGCACTCTGTGAGCCTGTGCACTTCGGGCTTACCTGGGGAGGGGGGAGAGCCACTTGGCCCTCTGCTGGGCTCTTTGCCCAGAGCGGTGTACGTGGGTGCGTGTTAGCGATTGCCATTGGATGGAAATCTTTAAATGCTGCGATGGCTAACAAGCCTGTATCAGAATTTCCGCAAAAGTTCAGACTGAAAAGCTGCCCTCATCCCCAAGAGAAGCAAACAATATTTGATGAAAGTGGAAAAATTTAGTATAAATTGAATGTCTCAGAATGTGGCTGCAGCCGCATGCTACAGAAGCCCCTGTATCTGTAAATAAAAGTCGATGCAGTGAAATAATTACCACACTTAGTGGCTTCTAGCATTTAAGCCTTAATGCTTGTGTCGTTACACGTTTATACTCCCACCGTGTTCAGACACTCCTGTGTGCCTGCACGTGGCATTTTCTTCAGAAGCACAATGCAGATCTTCTCATTATTTTACCCCAAGTTAAAAATAGAATTAAATTGTGAACATCAATATAGAATGATCATATTTCACATTTAGGAAATTGACAATCGGTTTTCCCAAGTGAAGAAAAGAAGACATGTATACAGGTTCATTCACTGTTTCCCAGTTATGTGTTGTGTGATTAGCCTTGTAAGAAACCGTGAAAGGATTGCTTCATTCGTGTCTCTGGTGTTGACTCTGAACATTTACCTCTTTTTCTTTACAGATTCCTATAACTCTAGGTGTAATCCTAAATTCTTATTACGATGTGAAGTTTAATTTCCTTGGAATGGTGTTTGCTGCTCTTGGTGTTTTAGTTACATCTCTTTATCAAGTGGTTGGTAATTTTTCTTTTCTTTATGTGCCTTTTTAGCAGATTTCGTAAATTTTGAAGCTGTATCCCAAGGTTTAGAAAATGCAGTATAGAGACAATAGACTGTTGGGAAGAAAGCATAATTGCATAAATTGTCTGGCTCAAGGTGAAGAGAAGAAAAGAGACAGAGAAACTTGGGTGTGTGATGCTCACCAAACCCCTACCTGTTTGTAAGTGTATGCTACCCGCGCTTAACAGTCTGAGTTTGGGGTGAAACCGTGCTATTTTTCTGGGAAATCTTTAAAAATGAGTCGTATGAGTTTCTATTTCCTGCGTTCATTGGTTACAGGTGTCATTTACTCTTTCATTATCACATTGCTGTGAAGGAGTAAGTACACTTCCAGAAAGTTGAACGGGAAAAGAAAAATCAGAATTGGAGATTTCTTTGCCTGAAAAACTGTGTTGCTGTTACAACTTGTCTATTGGCCACAGTAATTTGTATCAGTAGCGTAGTTCAGAGCCGTGGATACTTCACTTCTTGACCTAGCACAGTGCCTTGTCGGTAGCAGGCATTCATTAAAAACTTATTCGTGGGTTTACTTCATTCCCATCAAATTGCAACAAGTATGCTTTTTGTTTATTTTAGACAGTGTATGTGTGTGTTGGGGGGTGCAATGGGTTGGTTTAGTGCACAGTGAAACAGTAACAGTATTCTCTCTATACTGAAAACCTTGGTCTGGAGATTCTGGGTGTGCCTGCCTGGGGGAAGCTGGAGCCAAAATGTACATACAGCCAGTTTTGCTTTTCTCACAAGCCTCCTGTGCTTGTAGAGTGTGGCGGGTTGGTTAGGAATGTTAGGAGTTAGTAGTGCTGCCCTGGCCTCTCCCTTTCTGCTGGTGATCATTTCAGAAGCACTGTGGTGAAAACACACTGCACTGGGATAGATGAGTGTGTGGCAGAGAAGCAAGGTAGGTAAGGGAGCAGGGGCGTGGCAGGATGGAGGACCCATGCCTGTTGTTCCTCGGCTCCGTGATATTCCGTCTTACTACAGAGAATGATCAGAGGAAGCTCTGCTTCATGCTTTAAGAAAAAACTGTATGAGGGGGCACTTTAATTTTAAATTAAATTTAAATTTTAAATTAAAACTCTGAGTTTAAATTTTGTTGCTAGATACAGTAAGTATTTGTTGTTATTAAATACACCTTTTTTTTTGCCAATGTGGGTTAAACACTTATTAAATATAGCAGGAAATTTAACTTTTTGATATTAGTGTTTCTTATAGTCTTTACTTATAATTTGAATTCTGAGTACTCACTGTCCATATCAGTATGATTTTTTTTAACAAGATTTATTTTATTTATTTGAAAGGTAGAGTGACACAGGGAGAGAGAGAATCTTCCATCCTCTGATTCACTCCCCAAATGGCCACAACAGCCAGGGAACTCCATCTCTGTCTCCCACATGGGTGCAGGGGCCCAAGCACTTGGGCTGTCTTCCACTTCTTTCCCAGGTGCGTTATCAGGGAGCTGGGTTGAAAGCTGAACAGCTGGGACTTGAACTGGAGCTCCCCTATGGGAAGCCACCTTTGTACATGGCAGCTTACCCTGCTGCACCCACCATAAGCGCCAGCTTGTTCACACAGATCTCGAAATTGTTGTAGAGGATTTGCATCCCCCCGGTCAGTATTTGAAGTGAGTATGATGGAGGAATGATTGTGGGCTGACTGAGGCACAGAGGTTCTACTAGCAGCACACAGTGAAAGTGCTATTGCAGAATAGGTGTAATTTCCAGAAATTCTTTTGAAAGAGAGTTCTATCTGCCCATTGTATCTGAGTGTAGTTTCTAGGATCTTTCTTCTTAGAGTGGTGGGGATATTAAAAGCAGTTAAAAGAGCTGTTAGCTTTAGATGTAGGGAGATGGTTGGCCTTTTCATTCATGAAAGAGAGCTCTTTTGCTCTGTTCGCAGTCTTGGGAATACGAAGACCAAAAGGAGCTGTAATACAGCAGTGTAGAAGCGAGTGTAGACATGGTAAGGCACAGTAGGCTACCTCATCCGAGTCTCCCACGTGTGGGCGGCAGGGGCCCGAGTACTGGAGCTATCACCTGCTGCTTTCCAGGGTGCATTAGCAGGGAGCTGGGTCAGAAGCAGAGGTGGGACTTGAACCTAGGTACTTGGATATGGAACGCTGAAGTCCAGGTGTCGGCTTAACCGCTGAGCCCCAGTGCCCACTCCAGGGAAGGGTGTCTGCATTCTGCAGGCACTGGGAAGGAGTTTAGATAAGGGGGGACCTGCTCATTGCTTGTATTTAAGAAAAAGAACCCTGGTAGCCATGAAGCATGAGTGAGAGCGGGGCGGCAGGGCGACAGAGCAGTTAGGAGCCTCTCCACGCCTCAAGGGGCAGACAGGGGGCCTGGCCAGGCCGCAGGCGTGGACCTGGAGAGGTGGGGCACTGTGGAGACGTTGAGGCGGAAAGAATTAGAGGAGGCCCTGACTCCTGAGCTGCCGAAAGAAAGGAGCCCCACCCCTGGGCCTGTCCTTGCCTACTGAGCCCATCTGTGGGAAGAAGGCAAGTGTTGAGTTTACGCACCTCCCAGCAGGCTCTCTCAGGGAGGGGGGCCGGGAAGCCACGCAGTGAGGGCACTCAGAGATGGAGAGCTGAAGAAGGAAGGCGAGGGGCCGGCGCCCAGGCCAGCGGTGAAGACGCCGGCATCCATAGCCTGGCTACCCCATTTCTGACCCAGCTTCCTGCTCCTGTGCCTGGGAAAGCAGTGGAAGATGGCCCAAGTGCTTGAGCCCCTGCCTGCACGTGACAGACCCAGGGTTCCAGGCTCCTAGCTTCACCCTGACCCAGCTGTAACCATAATGTTCATTTGGGGAGGGAACCGGTTGATGGGAGATCTGCTCTCTGTGTGTGTCTCTTCCTAAAAATAAAGAAAAATTTTTTTAGAAAAAAAAAATGACATACGGGGGGAGAGTACAAATTCAAATAAATAAATAAATCTTAAAAAGAAGAAGAAGGCAGGTTCTTGCTAGAGAAATTTGCAGGCTGTGCAAAAAGACACAGCAATGCTCTGTGGATGTGGCCGTTGGAGGCGATGGTGCCTTTAGGAGACCATTTGGGGGAGGCAGACCAAGGCCAGGCTGCCCCGCAGAGACGCAGGGACGGGTGGCCCCCGCCACCTGCAGAGGCTGAGGAAGGGGAGGCGGGCGAGCTGACCTCTGCATCCGAGTCCACTCCCTGCTGTGCCCCAGGAGCAGGCGGTGGAAGAATCAGTTCTTTGTCCTTCCTAGTCACGGAAGACTCTTGGGCCAGGCAGGCAGGAGTGGGGTTCCAGGGGCCTGCTGCGCTGGTCTTGGCTGGGTTAAAGTCCACGGGCATGGAGTGTGTGTCCCAGGATACCTGGCCCGCAGGTCAAGGGGGCCGCAGGAGAAGCTGGCACCGCTGCTGTACGCGCCATGTCCGCTCATACAGACCTGTCAGCACGCTTCCCAGCCCACTTCCAGGCCTGCACCAGTGTATCTGGAGGTTTGCAGGATACAGTCTTTCAGATCTGCAGCTCTCCGGTGTATCAGGATATATTGGTGGGGCACAGAGAGTGCCACCCACAAAAAAAAAAAAAAAAAAAAAGACATGCACAGAGAGGTGAAGAGAGGATAATTTCTTCTTGCATCCATTGGGCTCTCTAAAGAGCCTGGAAAGACCACACACCTTTCAAGCCACACACATTGGCAGCCACCCTGCAGTAAAACCAGGGTTTCTGTCTGTCAGTCATCCATCACTAGCTTGCCCCACCCCAGGTCTTGCTTTTAGAACGAATTGAAGGCTAGCACTGCATCTGTATTGCTACCTATCCCCTAGATCCCCATTCCTGCCTGATTTTCCCAACATCGCTGATGCTTGTGGGTCCCTCGAGGCATTTGCTTTCCCCAGTTTGGAGGGCTCAGGAGGCAAGAGAGAATTTTTTTTGTCCCCCTCTAAGGAATGAAGAAGGAAACAGATGAGCAGAGATGGGATTTCGAGAGCTCCCGTCATGCCCCGTGCTTGCAGGGCATGCATCTGGCTGGTTGACCTTGGACATTTTGGAGAATACTTAGGCATCCCCTCTCCCCCCAGCCTGCACCCCGTATCTCCGTGTTTGTGGCGGGAATGGCATCTTTGCTCACAAGCCAGTGTTTCTTTCATGCCTGACTGGTTTTATCTTGTACTTTTCAGTGGGTTGGAGCCAAGCAGCATGAATTACAAGTCAACTCAATGCAGCTGCTCTACTACCAGGCTCCGATGTCCTCGGCCATGTTGCTGGTGGCTGTGCCCTGCTTTGAGCCAGTGTTGGGAGAAGGGGGAATATTTGGCCCGTGGTCAGTTTCTGCTTTGGTAAGTTCTGTGTGCTTTGGTACCTAAGAAGCTCTGCAATACTGGTTCCTCCATCGTTCATGCCGTTTCTGGTTTTCGTCGCACCATCTCAGATCCACGCTCGCGTCTGATCTTCAGAGTCACTCTTTCGGGAAGGCAGGAAGCATTCATTTTCAGAAGAAGAAACTAAGGCACAGAAAGCGAAGGGATTTGCCCAGGTGTTACAAATCAAACGTGGAATTACCATGTTTACCCAAATATGAAACAGGTCCAACTCCTGCAGTCCTCTTAAGACTACACTGACTTAAAAACTCGTAAAACCAGGGCCTAGCACTATGGGTTAAGCTGCTGCCTACGATGCCAGCATCCCTTACGGGCACCAGGTCAAGTCCCAGCTGCTCCACTTCTGATCCAGCTCCCTGCTAATGTGCCTAGAATAGCAGTGAAAGATAAGTCAAGTACTTGGGTCCCTACACCCACATGGGAGACTCAGAAGAAACCCCTGGCCCCTGACTTCGAGCTGGCCCAGCCCTGGTCATTGCAACCACTGGGGAGTTAACCAGCAGATGGAAGATCTCTCACTGTCTCTGTCTCTGTCACTCTGCCTTTCAAATAAGTCAATCAATCTTTAAACAAGCAAACTGGTAAAACCAACATGGAATAGAAAATGTCTTCAAAAATGACATGTTTTCTTTGGGAACATAAATTTGGTTTAAACAATAACAAACACTTTGTCTAAATTCATTTCAAAGATAGAAAATTATTTCCCAGTGTTTTATTTAAAGATTTATTTATCTATTTGAAAGGCAGAGTTACAGAAAGGCAGAAAGAGAGAGGTCTTCCGTCTGCTGGCTCACTCCCCAGATGGCTGCAATGGTCGGAGCTGCGCCAATCAAAGCCAGGAGCCAGGAGCTTCTTCCGGGTCTCCCACGTGGATGCAGGGGCCCAAGGACTTGGGCCATCTTCTGCTTTCCCAGGCCATGGCAGAGAGCTGGTTTGGAAGTGGAGCAGCTGGGACTCAAACTGGCACCCGTATGGGATGCCGGCACTGCAGGCGATGGCTTTAAATAACATGGGATCCGTGTGAGCAGACTGGTATGTGTGTGTATGTGTGTGTGCGCGCGTGTGCAGTGGTGCAGCCTGTTGACCCCTGATCTCCGCACATTGGTTTGTTCAGTGACCCGTGAACGCACCTGTGCTTCTGTGCCTCCACCCTTGACCTGTGCTGTTCCCTACCTCCTTTCTTGAGTCTAGTTGTGCTAAAATGATCTCTTCTGCGTGGTCACTCATATCAAAGCTATCATCTCTTTGCCTGTTTCTGAGGTACAACTCAAGTCTCGTTTTTCCAGCTGTAAATCGCACGCTGCACCAGGTGCCTGGGAGCAGTGTAGCAGAGTGGGGGAAGAGCAGGACACCACCAGCAGACAGCCTGGGGCTGAGTCTCAGCGCTGCCACTTAGAGGCGGTGGGGTTTTACTCAGGCAAATGAGGTCACCTTTCTGTAAAAAGGAGTAACGTTTTTACACCTACTTCATGGGCGTGTGTGAGGGTTAAACGGGGTAATACAGGTAAAACACGGAGACTATAGCACCTAGCGTTAGGCAAGTGGATGCCTTGATTATTAGAATTTCTATTAGAGCCTCAAGTGGTCTCTAAAGTCTTTGAGGGCAGGAACGTTGTACATATTTTGTTTCTCACAACGCTTGGCCCAGTTCTGTAGACATCTAATGAATGCTTATTTAATTTAACTAAGAATCAAAATGAGCATTTCAACAGAGAAAAATCTAGAGGGCTATATCCCAAGGGGTTAGCGAATGGGGGTAGCTGAGATTTTAGGAATTCCTGGGCCTTGCGGTGCCGGCACGGGTAGTCCCGGTCGGAGCACCGGATTCTGTTCCGGGTGCTCCTCTTCCAGGCCAGCTCTCTGCTGTGGCCCGGGAGTGCAGTGGAGGATGGCCCAAGTGCTTGGGCCCTGCACCCCATGGGAGACCAGGAGAAGCACCTGGCTCCTGCCTTCGGATCAGCGCGGTGCACCAGCCGCAGCGCGCTGGCCACGGCGGACATTGGAGGGTGAACCAACAGCAAAGGAAGACCTTTCTCTCTCTCTCTCTCTCTCTCTCACTGTCCACTCTGCCTGTCAAAAAAAAAAAAAAAGAATTCCTGGGGTAGATGTTTAGCAGTTAAGACACCTGCCCGCCACATCAGAGTACGTGGGTTCAATACCCAGCCCTCGCACCTGTACCCAGCTTCCTACTAATGTGCAATCTGAGGGGCAGCAGTGATAGCCCGAGTAATTGGGTTCCTGCCACCCACATGGGACACATGGATTGCGTTCCCAGCTCTCAGCCTTGTTCTTGGCCCAGCCCCAGCCATTGTGGGCATTGGGGAGTAAACAATGGATTAATAATAATAAAAATAAGTCCTTATACACTTTTGCTTATCTTTATTTTCTGGTTTTTCCATAATGTCTATGTTTTGCATTTTTATGATAAGAAATTAGTGGGGCTGGTGTTGTGTCGTAGAGGGTAAAGCCACTGCCTGCAACACAGGCATCCCATATGGGCGCTGGTTCATGTTCCAGCTGCTCCACTTCGATCCAGCTCCCTGCTGGTGACCTGGAAAAAGCCTTGGAAGATGGCTCAAGTGTTTGGGCCCCTGCTACCCATGTAGCACACCTGGATGAAGCTCCTGGCTCCTAGCTTCGGGCTGGCCCAATCCTGGCCAATGTAGCTATCTGGGGAGTGAACCAGCAGATGGAAGATTCTCTCTCTCTCTCTCTCTCTCTCTCTCTCTCTCTCTCCCCCTCTCTCCCTCTCTCCCTCCCTCCCTCCCTCTTTGTAACTGCCTTTCAAAATAAATTTATTATCATTATTATTATTATTTATTTTGAAAGGCAGAGTTAGAAAGAGGCAGAGGCAGAGAAAGAGAGACAGACACAAGTATCGCCCATATGGAACGCTGGCACTGCAGACAGTGGCTTTACCCACTACGCCACAGCACCAGCCCCAGTAAATAAATATTAAAAAATGAAAGAAATCATTGCAAAATATTTTTGCTTTAGGTGGATAAGAAAAATGAATCTAGAGATTCACATACAGAGACAGGATATGGTTATAGAATTTTCTATTGACTTTTGTGGACAAAATTAATTTCTAAACACTATGCATTCTGCTCTTTTACTCCCAAATTCTTGCTGCCTCACAAATTAATCCTTTCTTTTTCTAATCTTGTTCTTAATGGTTGATGTCTGGGTTTTTTTTTTTTTTTTTTTTTTTTTGGACAGGCAGAGTGGATAGTGAGAGAGAGAGAGACAGAGAGAAAGGTCTTCCTTTTGCCGTTGGTTCACCCTCCAATGGCCGCCACGGCTGGCGCGCTGCGGCCGGCGCACCGCGCTGATCCAATGGCAGGAGCCAGGAGCCAGGTGCTTTTCCTGGTCTCCCATGGGGTGCAGGGCCCAAGCACCTGGGCCATCCTCCACTGCACTCCCTGGCCACAGCAGAGAGCTGGCCTGGAAGAGGGGCAACCGGGACAGAATCCGGCGCCCCAACCGGGACTAGAACCCGGTGTGCCGGCGCCGCTAGGCGGAGGATTAGCCTGTTGAGCCACGGCGCCGGCCTGATGTCTGGGTTTTAAAAATGCCTGATGAAATGTGTGTCTTCGTGGTGACTGATAACTGCAGTGCCCTACTTTAATGATCTTTTCGGTTTCTTTGTAGCTCATGGTTCTGCTGTCTGGAGTAATAGCTTTCATGGTGAACTTGTCAATTTATTGGATCATTGGGAACACTTCACCGGTCACGTATCCTTTTCAAAATGAAATGCATGATCTCCCATGGTTCCCAAAACTGTCACACTTATTACCTCATTCGAATTTCATACTAACTACTGCACAGCCTCAATTGAGTTGCAGGAGTTATTTTTCGTCTTTTACTCGATCTCTTTCCACACTAGAGTCTTTCACATTTTAGAAAATATGATTATGAGCTAAGGAAATGGGTTTTCTTTCTGTACCAAGAACATTCTTGGATTTTCTTAAGGAAAGTGCAGGAAAAAGCGGGTCTCCTTGGGAGTGGCAGGAATCCAGTAACCTGAGGCATCACTGTACCTCCCAAGGTTCACTTTGGCAGGAAGCTAGAGTCAGGAGCCCAAGCCAGGAATCCTTCTTAAGGGGGAGGCTAAGAGAACTTGTAAATATGCACATGGGCGTGTGTTTGTGCATACACATGTGTTTATTTTTTAAATGAACATGATTAGCCAAACCTTTATCCAATACCAAGTTACTGGCAGTGTGCTAGATTAGCCCATGGACTTTGTAATTAAATACATCTACCCATCTGGACTCCAATTCTGCCACTTAACACTGCGGGGCAGGCGGATGACTCAGCAGTTAAGACATAGCTTGGGGGACAGGCATTGTGACTCAGCAGGTTCAGTCACCACTTGGGACACCCACTTCCTGTATCCAAGTGCCCGTTCCACATGGCAGACCTGGATGGAGTTGGTGCCTGGCTTTAGCCTGACCCCACCCCCAGCTGTTGAGTGAACCAGTATATGGGAGATTTTTTCCCTGTCTGTCTCTCTGCCTTTTCAAGTAAATAAGTAAACAATTTAAAGTAAATAATTAATGGAAGAAAGAAAGCCTGTGTAATCAGAGGCCAAACTACTGAAATCCCTGAGCCTAGGCTGGATGTGTAGTGTGGCAGGTTCAACCACATCCCTACAGTGGCTGGTGCAGATCTGCTGTCTGATCCAGCTTCCTGCTAACGCACGTTCTGGGGAGCGGGTAACTGCTCAAGCACCTGAGTCCCTGGCATCCCAGTGAGAGACCAGGGTGGCGGTCCCGGCTCCATCCTGGGCCTGGATCAGCCCCAGCCATTGCAGCTGTTTGGAGAGTAAACCAGCAGATGGAAGATTCATCTGTGTCCCTTATCTCTCACTCTGTTACTCTGCCTTTCAAATAAATAAAACATTTTTTTAAAAATGGGAGCGCTTATAAAAAGCCTTTACCATGGTCACGTGGGTCACATGGTCACGTGAGCCTGCGGTGAAGCTCAGTGCGCAGCCGCAGTCCGGGGGTGTCAGGTCGGAGTCCAGCACAGTGCCTGGCGTGCAGTTGGTGCTCAGTGTGACCCCCTCCCCCACTCTCCCTCTCCTCCCAAACTTAAGCATACCGGAAGTGTTGCACTGAGTCAGCTCCCGGGCAGCCTACATGTCTCATCGCAGGTGCCAAGAGACTACTACTGGAAGTAGCGCTATAAAACGTAGTCATCAGAGGGTCTACAAAGTATCTCCTCCGGGCCTCCTGCTGAATTTCTTTCCTAGCCTCCTTTGGAGAGGTCAGCCGGAAGAGTGGAGGCAGTTTCTTGTCATTGGTGGACCACTGTGGGGGAAGCCAGGAGCGACTCAGCGTTTCTGTGGCTGCCGTTCCTGTTGTACTGTAGGTGGGGTGGCTGCCAGGGAGTTTCTGTCCTTGCAGCTCTTCCAGCTACGGGAAGCCCGGATGTGTGTGCGCGCGAGTGGGCACTTGCGTATATGCGTGTATGTACCAACGTATTATCGAGCTTGTTAATCCTTTGTATCCTTAGCCAAAACCTCAGCTATAACATGTTTGGACACTTCAAGTTCTGCATTACTTTATTTGGAGGATGCGTTTTATTTAAGGATCCGCTGTCCGTTAATCAGGGTCTGGGCATTTTATGTACATTGTGTGGCATTCTCGCTTACACGCACTTCAAACTCAGTGAACAGGAAGGAAGTAAGAGTAAACTGGCACAGCGTCCTTGAGTGTCTGGGCAAAGTGGAAGCTGCCCCGGGGATAAAAAATGTACAGTGTGCAAGTTCTTTTCAAAGGAGAATAAGGAATTATGGTGCCAAATTCAATGACCGATTTGCAAGAAGTGATGCAAAGGAAATTTTATTCACAAATAGGACTTTTTTTTTTTTTAAAGAACATTTTCCTTTCCTTTTAAATGTAACTCTCTAAAGCCAAAAAGGTTTATGCTTTCTTTTGAAGATGATTATATGAAGTAGATGGGGTGGTTTGGTTGTACCGAGTAAGCACATAACAATGACAGTTCTGATGTAAGGACAAGGGAGCTGTGTGACAGTACTGTGTGTGTGTAAGTTTGTATGACAGCCTACAGATGGTGGCTTTGTGGGGTTCCTACGCTCCTAAGGACATATGGGAGTCTTCTGCTTGCTAGTAGATGCTTTTCCTTTCCCAGGGTGAGATGTTTTACAGCTCTGGTCAAAGTGTTCAAGTCAGAACTGAAACCTAGCATTTCTGTTTTAGTTTCGTTTTTTACTTTGCTTTAGTTGGAATTTCTGATTATTTCATTTATAGAAATGAAATATCTATAGAAAGCAAAGTATAATATAGAAGATGATCATTAGACAACGCTTAATTCTCAAAGTACTATTTTTCTATAGGAAATGGATGTCAGAAGTCAGACATTATAAAAAAAAACACTACCGTTTTATAGGTCTTCTCTTGTTTTTGGGCTTTCAGTGGATTCTGGAAAGTCCATGTGGAGTTAAAAACCAAAATAACACTGGTTATTTGAACTGGCTCAGAGAAAAGACTGTGGATGGGATGGGGCAGGTTTCTCACGATCCCAGGAGCTGCCTTCCTGGCTTCTCTGAGCATTTCAGGGTGATCATGTCTTCATCTCACCTCCCTCCCCCGCCCCCAGTGTGTGTGGCATCCCTGCGGCGGCGTGATTTTCAAGAACTCCTTTCTAAAGTGACCGAGGAAGATCATTACGCTGCAAGTGAGGGCCATCACCCTGCAGACCCTGGGCAGAAACTCCGTGAAAATAGGAGGAAAGGTGTGGAGGAAGTGAAAAATCAGTTAATATTTAACTGGTTCTATGAGTTTTTAAAGGGATGATTTTTTTTGATTGGGGTGCAGGGTCTGGCACTGTGAAGTAGTAGGTTAAGCTTCTGCCCATGGTGCCAGCATCCCATATGGGCACCGGTTTGAGTCCCAGCTGCCCCTCTTCTGATCCAGCTCTCTGCTATGGCCTGGGAAAGCAGTAGAAGACGGCCCAAGTGCTTGAGAGACCCGGAAGAAGCTCCAGGCTCCAGGCTCCAGGCTCCAGGCTCCAGGCTCCAGGCTCCTGGCTTCAGATCAGCCCAGCTCCAGCCATTGCAGCCATTTGAGTAGTGAACCAGTGGATGGACGATCTCTTTGTAACTCTGCCTCTCAGATAAATCTTTTTTAAAGTATTGGAGTTCAAGAGAAATCCAAGATTTCCACTTAAGGAAATCTAGTGCCACCTATTTAATGGTGAACTGTATTTCTGCCTTCGGATCCTTGACATTCAGACATTAAAAGCAGTTGTTGATAATCTCACAACAAATGGATCAAAACCATTCATTATTTTGTAATAAGTAATTCCTTTTCCAAATATCGTTTATAAACTCTCGATGAGAAAATAGCTTAAGATGACAAAGAGCTCTACATGTATGATGCTCAATTCTGTTATGTGTTGTTTATCACAATAAAAACACCCACAGAGACATCGTTTAGATTTGTAGGATTTTTTTCCCCCATGGCCTGTTTAAAATGAAAAGTCTTGCTGAATATCTATTTTGAAGATTTGTGGTTTGTCAGTCCATCTGTCTATGATTAGTATACTCGGGTTTCTGTATTTGCTTTACATTTTCTTTGGTTTTTCTCTGTTCACAAAGGTACTTTTTGTTGTCCGGAACAGTTTGTGTGTTCCATAGGAACTCCGTGCATCACGTTTGTGGTGTATGTTTAAATCAACGTGAAATTATTTCTCCAGCTCCCGAGAGGAGTGTCTCAGCACAGTGAGGATCATTTGCTTTCCGTGCACTGCAAATCTGAGGGAGAGGGCTAAAATGAACGTGGGGTGGCTGATAAATGCCTGGTGTGCAGAGGACTCCAGTGAGGAAGCTGGAGTGAGACACAGCAGGGCGCACGTGTGGAAGGCTGGTAAACGTTCTCTGTGCGCATGGCATCCCACTGAAAAGAAGGTTCTGAAGGAAGACACCCTGTGACGGGAGCCAGCAGAGGCCGGCGCAGTGCTCTGGAGGAAAGCGTGTTTCTTGCCAGTGTCACTGCACTGAATTTTTCATCCTGCGTTCAATGACTGACGCTCAGTGTTGAGCACCTCTTGCTTTTGCCTTTGTGTTGCGCATCAGAGCCGCTGGGGTAGGGGAGAGGTGACTGATTTCGCTGGCCGGCGCAGCACCCAGGGAAACAGCTCCGTCTCCCTGTAAGATAGCAGACAGCAGAGATCTGTGGAGTGAAGCAAGCTCTCTCCTGGTTCGTTTTTTTTTTTTTTTTTTAAGTATTTATTAAGCCTTGTGGCTTTTGTCTTCTCTTTTTTTATAACTGATTTCAAAGCAGCAGCATCCATCAAACATTCCGCCTTCACTCTACCGGTAAATACTCGTGCCGTGAATGACCGTGCAGGCCAGCCAAAGGTAGAAGTCTAATTTAGAAAATGAAAGGGCTGGCGTTGTGCTGCGGTGGGATTGGCCACCACTTGGGACGCCTGTTTGCCATCTCCAAGTTCCACTTTAAGTCTCAGCCGCTGCTCTGCTTCTGATCCCGTTCCCTGCCAATGCACCTGGGAACCAGCAGTGGATGGCTCAAGTACTTGGAGTTCCTGCCACCCACAGGGGAGACCCACATGGAGTTCCTGGCTCCTGGCTTCAGCTTGGCCCAGCTGTTGCAGCCACTTGGGGAGTGAACCAGTGGATGGAAGAACAGAAGTTCTGTCTGTCTTTGTCTCTTTCTCTCCATCTCAATCTGCCTTTCAAATAAGTAAATAAATCTTTTTTAAAAATGGAGAACATGTTCATTAATGTATTCTCTTTTTTTGTCCCCAAATTTAAACTGGATTAAGCCTGCCTACATCAAGAATATAATCATAATTTCATTTACTCAACAGATTTATTGAGCATATGCTTGGTGCCAGGTATGTGGTAGGCACTGTGGGTATTAAAGATGGTGCTTTTAGACAAAGGTGGTTTGTCTTCTTTTCCTTATGATCTTAAGGATATTTGTCTTAAAAGATAGATACCGAGCTGGCGCTACGGCTCACTAGGCTAATCCTCCGCCTTGCGGCGCCAAGCACACCGGGTTCTAGTCCCGGTCGGGGCGCCGGATTCTGTCCCAGTTGCCTCTCTTCCAGGCCAGCTCTCTGCTGTGGCCAGGGAGTGCAGTGGAGGATGGCCCAAGTGCTTGGGCCCTGCACCCCATGGGAGACCAGGAGAAGTACCTGGCTCCTGCCATCGAATCAGCGCGGTGCGCCGGCCGCGGTGGCCATTGGAGGGTGAACCAGCGGCAAAGGAAGACCTTTCTCTCTGTCTCTCTCACTGTCCACTCTGCCTGTTAAAAAAAAAAAAAACAATTAAACAAAAAAATGAAGTGAATTTTTGTTACAAACTCCAGTAAGCGTTAAAGGGAACGTTATTCTCTGTAAGCAAACCAGAATCTAGCCAAGGCTTGGCAGTGAGGAAGCTGTCCATGGAAAGGTAGGCTGAGCTGACATCTGGTGGATGATTAGAAGTTAGCCAGGCACAGGGAGGGAATTGCATTCTAGAAAGGGGGAACAGCACATACAAAGGCCACTGTTCAGAGGAATCATGATGAGTTTACAGAAATGCAGAAAGGATGGATGAGGCTTGGGCTGGAATGGTGTGATATGAGCCTGGGAAGCTTAAATGGGCCTCAGCCCATAGGATACCTGTACATGGTGCTAAAAGTCTTCAGTAAGGGCAGGGGGGAGTGTTGTGAGCATTGCTACAGCCAGCCCCTTAGATACAAAATAATTGCAGTAGAAACAGATGCCAGGAGATCTAGTGGGAGACAGCTGTAGTGGGAGATGGTGGTGTGAAAGCGTAGTGGTGAGAAAAGTGAATATTAAGAGAACTTAGTAGGTGGGATCAACTAGGTCGCAGGTGGATCACACATGGAGGATTTGGGAAGGGCTGAGGTCAAGAGTCACACGTTGTGGGGGAGGGGTGTCTGTCTACCTGTTAAGGTACTGTGTAGGCTTCCAGATCCCACATTGTCGTACCTGGTTTTGATTCTGGCTTGAGCTCCTGGCTCCAGCTCCTGGCCAGTACAGGTCCT